TTGATTTATTTATTTATGATATATTAAGTTGTGAAATGCAACTCTTGTTGTTATTGTCATTGTTTTTCCTTTCCACTCTCAATAAATCTGCAATGTGTTTTTATTTCCCCTACAATGCCCTTGCCTTGCAGCTACCACTACAACCCCAAAGAAAACATTTCTCTACCTCAGAATCTTTGAGTCTCACATAATTAGATGGGAAAACTCCTGATTTATCACCCAGCGTTCCCGTCCACCAGTCACCATCTTTCTTTGTCACCAGGATCAGGTCACCTTGTTGGAAAGTGAGGTCTCCCTGCTCCGAGCTCTCGTAGGTGTACATGGCAATGTACTCTGGAAAAGGGAAATACAGCACATGGAAAACTCCTGAGAGATCCCCAGTGATCCTCTGCAAAACCTCATTCATATCAGGGCTAGGCAGAAAGCAAATTATTTATTATTATTATTAATATTTTATATATAATTATTAATTATTTATTAATTATTTGTTACTCATTGAAACATCAATATTTAATGAATAAAATTAGATCTAGCAGACCTGAATAGGATCTATCCAAAGGCTGCCTCAGGGGGGTTTGTATATAATTTGCTAGTATAATTAAAATGTACATAAATCATTCATTTAGCTATTAAACATGTTTCCCAGTGGTTTGTGCTGATGAGTGGAATTTTCAGAGTTTGGGATGCAAAAATCACCTTCTGCACGTGGACCCTCTCAACAGAAGATGTTAAATCCTTGCTTTGTTGTCCCTCAAAATCACAGCTTTTTTGAAGTGTTTAAACCAAAGTTGTGTTCCTTTTTAATACAAACACAACACCTGAGATATCCCACCTGGGACAAGACTCTGCATGTCCACAATTCCCTCTCCTCAAACAGGAGGAAAACCAGAACAAGGTGATCCTGAAGGTTCCTTCCAACCCAAACCAGCTGGGATTCTACAGAATATTTACTGTACTTTGAAATCATTGATTATCTCCCTTTTCTCTGCTGTTCCCTCCTTTGAGTTGCTCATGCCAGACACAAATGAAATGTAAATGTCCCTAAAACTGTACCTGGAATTGCAGTTGGAAACTCGAGGTGTGCTGTATCAGACACACAAACATTCACCTGTAACCTAAATTTAGATTAATTGATCTGCCTGTGATTTAATTAACCTACAGCTGACTCTGCACTGGAGGGGATTAAGAGTTAAGGCAGCTCAGGTGGGGACATTCTCCTGCAGCTGAAGGAATTCTCCTTTTAAAACCCTTCACTAAAATATCAGTGGATTCTGTGTCTGTGGCCCAGGCTCCACCTTTAACATGGAGCTGACCATAAGGATCCCAGTGCTCTCCAAGTGACTGACACTGCCTTCATTAAGAGCTTAATGAAACATTGGGAATGAGCTTTGGGGAAAATTTAAATATTTACCAATTCCTGACACCGTGTGCTTCTTGGGCCCTCTGTGAAAAACCCTTCTAGATCACAAAATGTTACCAGAATAATGGCAAAAATCTAAGAAATTTTCATATCTTTTGTGATATGTGAAACTGTTCCTTCTCTAAACACAACATACATAAACTGTAATAATAGTAATAGCAATAATGATGATAATAATGATAATAGTAATAATTATAATGATGATAATGATGATAAGAGTGATGAGAATGATGATAATGATGATAATTATGATAATGATGATAATTATAATTATATGATGATAATTATAATTATGATGATAATGATGATAATAATTACAATAATGATGATAATAATAATGGTAATTATTATAATGATGATAATAATGATAATAGTAATAATGATAATGATGATAAGTGATGAGAGTGATGAGAATGATGATAATGATAATGATGATAATGATAATGATGATAATGATAATAATTATGATAATTATAATTATGATAATAATGATGATAACAATAATGACAATAATGATGATAATGATGATAATTATGATAATGATAATGATGATAATGATGATAATAATGATGATGATAATAACAACAATAATAACAGTAATAATAGTAATAATAGTAATAGTAGTAGTAATAATAATAATAATAATAATAATTTATTCTAGCTGTGCATCTGGATTTTAACACCACTTGAACAGCACAATCCTGATTTTGGCAGAAAGCAGAGTTCTTGTGTTCAATGCCAGAGTAAGAGGCTGCCAGGGCCACCCAGGACTCACCTTCCCCTGACATCGCTGCCTTGGCTGCTGGGGATGCTACTCTTTTCAGACTAGCAGGACTTTCTGAGGAACCAGAATCCATGCTTTAGAAGAAAATAATGGTTATTTAAGAAATTCAATCTCTTCAGAATAATTATTATTATATTTCAAACTTGAAAATGCACATTGCACCCCCAAGCAACTCCCTGGGTTTTAAAAGAAGAGACAGTAAATGTGCAAAATAAAGCTTTGAATCCAGTGGCCTGTTATGGTCATATTTAAGTAACTGTCTTAAATACAGAATTTTCTGCATCTCCTCTTTTTACTCAGGAAAAAAAAATTATATAAAATCATTCTCATTTATATTCCTAATGCTAATGTTGCCTTCACATTACAAAAAATGAGATTTTAAATGTTTCATCCTGCAAGAATAATGAGAAGTAATTTAGATTTGAAGAATACCTTTTAATTTTGGGCAGAGAGGAGCTCTGACTTACAGAGCTGTACTTCAGAAAGTCCAGTACACTCATTTTTCAGTTTCAAGTCACATAAAATTAAGAAGGTTAATTAATTTGTTGGTGAGGCAAGACCCAAGGAGAAGTGAGATCGGTTTTTTTAATGCTGACACAAATTTTCAGGATTGGAAGTCAAAACCCTCCAGATGAAAACAAGGCCATTTTTACAGGGTGAAACTTCAAAACTCAAGTGTTCAGCTCTTCCTATTTCCTTCTACCCCAGCACAGAATAAAGGACAGGAAAAGCAAACAAAATACCTGGTGGATTTCCTAATGGGGCCTGAAATGAGCTTGACGTAGGATTTGGGAAACCAGCCCTTCTGTCCCTGCACCTCCCCAAACCACCACATGTCCTGCTGCTCCAGCACTGTGATCACATCGTTCTTGTTGAAGTTCAGGTGGTTGTCCTTCTTTGCTCTCCAAGGATACAGAGCCTGTGCTTGAAGACCCTCCACTTTTTCACCCTTCAGAAAGAAACACAGAGGAGTCACTGGTGCTGCACCTCCAGCAAGAAAGCTGCTTAAGGAATTACATCCCTGGGCTGCTGGGACAGCAACAAATACACTCTCAACTAAAGCAGCTGTTAAACTTCCAAAGTAATTCCAGAAATGTTTACAGTCCTCCTGCATTTCTGTCAGTTAACACACCATCAATGCAATGCAAGATTAAATAAATTTTACTTAAGATGCAATCCTGCTTTGGCAGGATTTAGAGTCCATTTTATGGAAATGATGCTTTGCTGCACATTATTCATGGCACATTCCAATTTCTTTTTGCTCTGAGGTAGATATTTAGCACTTCCCAGGACACATGAGCTCCCAAGAACAGTTTCTTGTTCCAGTGAGTGAAAGGAAATGCCTGAACAGAGGGACAGAATTCAGCTGGGAAGTTTTGCCTTTGCTATTTCACTTAACCCACCTGGGAGTGAAAGCTGTCATGGGAGTCAAGAAAGCCTCAAGGAATTGACCCAAACCTGGACCAGTAAAATCTAAAAAACTCATCCCAGACCAGCAAACCAGAAACTGATTTGTGTTAAATCCTGCCCCAGATGCTGCCAAGGGATCAAAGATCCATAGAATGGCCTGGATTGGGAGGGGCCTGAGAGCTCATTTCATTCCCACCCCAGCCATGGCAGGGCCACCTCCCACTGTCCCAGGAGCTCCCAATGTCCAGCCTGGCCTTGGGCACTGCCAGGGATCCAGGGGCAGCCCCAGCTGCTCTGGCAATTCCATCCCAGCCCCTGCCCACCCTGCCAGGGAACAATTCCTGCCCAAGATCCCAAGATCCAGCCCTGCCCTCTGCCCCTGGCAGCCATTCCCTGGCTCCTGGCCCTGCAGCCCTTGGCAATTGTCTCTCTCCAGCTTTCCTGGGGCTCCTTCAGGCCCTGCAAGGCCACCCTGAGCTCAGCCCAAAGCTTCTCCTGGCCAGGCTGAACAATGGCAGCTGGGCCAGCCTTTCCTACCAGCAGAGCTGCTCCATCCCTCTGCTCATCCTGGAGCCTCCTCTGGGCTCTCTCCAGCAGCTCCAGCTGCTCCCTGGGCTGGGCCCCAGGGCTGGGGCAGCTCTGCAGGTGCTCCCCTATGCCAGGTGAGTGTTACAGTGCACAGACAAGGTTCACACTTGGCTCTCCAAGCCTTTGTGCTGGCTCAGAACATTTGGGGGAGCCCAGGAGCTCACCTGGCCCAGGACAGGGGAGGGGGACGAGCCTGTGACGGTGGCAGGAGTGAAGGCTGAGCGCTGCCGGAGCTGCCCCGCGCTGGGCACGGTCAGGGAAGGCTGAGCTGCCCAGGCATCCCAGTTATCACTCTCTGACTTCTCACTGGTGTTTGTTGGCCACCTGGAAAAAAAAAGAAAAGAACAATATAATTCCTACTGCTTTGAACAGGAGGAACAAAAAAAGCTTCCACAGAACAAATATTTCAACATTCTACATTGATTTCTTCTGCATGAGCACCTTAACTCCAGGTGCAGCAGTGCAAGTGAACACTGATCCACCACAGCTTTACCTTCAGAGGCAACCCCCAAACTGAGCTCCTTGTCCTTGCCACTGAAGGACAGGTTTTTATTTCAATTTGTAGCTGTGTCCCAACAAACAGAAGTTCAAGCAGTGCAGTGAAAAGAGAAATAAAAATAATTCATCATTATTCCCAAAACTGGTTGGAAATTTTCCCCCCTGCACATCACTGACCTCTCCCATCCCTTTCCTTTAGATACAGAATCATGGAATGCTTTGGGTTTGGACCTTAAAATCCACCCAGTGGCCCCCAGCCATGGGCAGGGACACCTCCCACTGTCCCAGCTGCTCCCAATGTCCAGCCTGGCCTTGGGCACTGCCAGGGATCCAGGGGCAGCCCCAGCTGCTCTGGGCACCTGTGCCAGGGCCTGCTATTGAGATAATGGTTTATAAATATGAATTTGACAGCCAAAGGAATTGCAGTTGATAAAGTGCCCAGTGTATTAAGACATCCAGGGAAGGGCAGGCATTGAAATTCTCTCCGTTTTACTAATGCTGTGATCAGGAATTAAATCAGCTTTTCATGTCATCTCTTCCATCAGCATTATACAGAACAATAAGTTGGAAGCCTTCAGTAAGGCTTGATGGCAACTAATGTAGGAGAAAGGGATTCAGGAGGTTCCAGTACCTGGAGGGCTCCAGGAGAGCTGGAGAGGGATTGTTCATTAGGAATGGGAGTGGCAGGGCAAGGGGGAATGGGTTCCCACTGAAAGAGAGGAAATTTAAGTGGGAGATGAGGAGATGAGGATGTTCCCTGGCAGGGTGGGCAGGGGCTGGGATGGAATTGCCAGAGCAGCTGGGGCTGCCCCTGGATCCCTGGCAGTGCCCAAGGCCAGGCTGGACATTGGGAGCTCCTGGGACAGTGGGAGGTGTCCCTGCCATGGCAGGGCTGGGAATGGGTGGGATGTGAGGTCCTTCCCAATCCAAACCAGTCTGGGATTCTGTGATTCCAAGGGAAGTGAACACCTTGGCATTGCCCCTGTGCCCACATCCACACCTGGGGATGCCTCCTGCTCCTGCTGTGCCCAGCTGTGATGGGAGCAGCCCCACATCCTGCAGGGCTGCACTTCCAACTGATCCCTACAGAAAGCATCTTTTACTTCTCAGAAGGGATTTTCAGTTTGCACTCTGGCTCCTGTGTTCAGAGCCAGTTCCAGAGGGCTCCACACACCGAGGGGCCCAGCAGCACCCAAACCTACGTGGAGCTGAAGTCTGCCCAGTTGTTGGCTGCTGCAGGAGCCTCTGGAGGGGCAGGAGCTGCCAGGGCAGTGGAGCTTTCCTGCACAGACACTTTAGGAGCTGCAGAGGGCTCGGCCACGGGCTTGGCAGAGGTTGGAACTTCACTGTCCGGAATTTTCTCTGCGTAGTTCGCAGGGAACCATCCAGTTTTCCCCTTCAGCTCTCCACCAAGCCACCCTGGCTCTCCAGTCTGGCTTTCATCCACCTGCAGACACAGGAAGTCAGAGAGTTAATAAATACACCCTGCAAATGGAAATTTTACAGAAAAGAACCCATGTCCTCCACACTTTTTGCAATGCAAGAGGCCTTGACAACAGTTTTTTCTTTTTTCTTTTTTTTCACACTAAAATCACAGAACCATGGAATGCTTTGGGTCAGACGGGACCCTAAAACCTGTCCTGATCCAGCCCTGCCCTGGCAGTGACACCTCCCACTGTCCCAGCTGCTCCCAATGTCCAGCCTGGCCTTGGGCACTGCCAGGGATCCAGGGGCAGCCCCAGCTGCTCTGGCAATTCCATCCCAGCCCCTGCCCACCCTGCCAGGGAACAATTCCTGCCCAAGATCCCAAGATCCAGCCCTGCCCTCTGCCCCTGGCAGCCATTCCCTGGCTCCTGGCCCTGCAGCCCTTGGCAATTGTCTCTCTCCAGCTTTCCTGGGGCTCCTTCAGGCCCTGCAAGGCCACCCTGAGCTCAGCCCAAAGCTTCTCCTGGCCAGGCTGAACAATGGCAGCTGGGCCAGACTTTCCTGCCAGTAGAGCTGCTCCATCCCTCTGCTCATCCTGGAGCCTCCTCTGGGCTCTCTCCAGCAGCTCCAGCTGCTCCCTGGGCTGGGCCCCAGGGCTGGGGCAGCTCTGCAGGTGGGGTCTCACCTCAGGGGGCTCAGGCACAATCCCAATCCCTTTCCTGATCCTCTGGCTGGGGCAGCCCAGGGCAGGGATGGATCCCAATCCCAGGACTCCTCAGAGGAGGTGCTGACAAATTCCTTTGCCTCGGGCCATTTGTTGTTACCCCCTGGAATTTGCATCCACCCTCCCTTTCGGTGCAAACCAATCCCTTATTCCTGCTTTTTTTGGGTCCCCCTCCTGTCTCTCAGCCCTTGGCAATCCCACAAATTGAGGCACTTCGTGCTTGACCGCTTCCATGAGCTTTTCCTGCAGTGCAGAGCAAAATTTCCACTGCAGCAGAGATGGGGAAGCAGCAGGATGGGAGAGGGAAGGGCACAGCTGAGGGTGGATGGGGGAAAAAGGGATTAAAGCAGCGAGGTTGAATCATCCACACAGGGATCAGTCACCCCAGCCAGGCTCAGGAACTGCAATCAGCACACACAGAAGGAACAAACAGCACTGCAAAGGCAAATCTGGGCTGGGGAGATGCTCTAAAAAGAGCATCTGGGAGGTGATCCATGGGCTTACAGAAACCACTGGGATTCTTCAGGCATAAGGGAAAAAAAAAACAACCAAAAGGTTTTAGACCCATCCAATTAATGCCTCTTCAAGAGAGGATTTGAAGCTGTAATAATTCTAAAACTGCCTATGAGGATACTCAGACCTCTGCTTATTCAACACAATTGAGTTCTCTATGCACACTCATGAAAAGATACTTTGAAGGATAATTTAAACTTCATGATTCATATCAGCTCTGGTTTCTTTTTCATCTAAAATACAACTCACATCTGGTTTTGCAGCACTGCACAGAAATTTTAAATACATTCCTTTAATCTTTTTTAAATTATATTGTTTCAATTTCCTTAAATTTTTACACCCACCATCCACAAATCCCAAAAACAATCCCAGATTATTTTTTTCCAAAATACAACCAGACTTTAAATGTATACCTAAATAGTGAATTACAGTGTGTGGGAGGTTGTTTTCATTTATTCAGCTGTACTTCAGACCCACAGCTGACAACTCCTTAATTCTGTGGATCACAAAGAAGATTGATTCCAACTCCAACAATCAATAACTACCATTAGAATTCATTGTAGATTTTTCAGGGAAGAATATCTGTTCCTGCCCTAAAGCTTGGTTGAGCTATAGCCAGGATTACAATCAATCTAAACTTACAGTGGAAGAAATTGAAAGTACATTGAAAGGATAAGATAATTCAAAAGTGGCAGAATTAAAAAGTCAGAGCAATTGTATAATCCATGGCACCAGACCCAGTGGTGCCACAGGCTCTCCCCAGCAGTCAGGCAGAGCAGAGCCCTCCCCAAATGGCAAATCCTTTTCCTTCCTGGATAAATCCTCCTCCTCCTCCTCCTGCTCCTTGGTTCCCTCAGCCTGGGCTCAGGGTTCTGCCCAGGATCAAGTGTTGACACTCTTGGAAAGATCATTCCCAAGCTCTGGTAAAGGCCCAGCTCCTGTGACAGAATGAGCTCTGCAGTCCCATTCCAGCCCAGATCCCAGCTCAGGATCCCAGCTCAGGATCCCAGCCCAGATCCCAGCTCAGGATCCCAGCTCAGGATCCCAGCTCAGATCCCAGCTCAGGATCCCAGCTCAGGATCCCAGCCCAGGATCCCAGCCCAGGATCCCAGCCCAGATCCCAGCTCAGGATCCCAGCCCAGATCCCAGCTCAGGATCCCAGCCCAGGATTCCAGCTCAGGATCCCAGCTCAGATCCCAGCTCAGGATCCCAGCCCAGGATCCCAGCTCAGGATCCCAGCTCAGGATCCCAGCCCAGATCCCAGCCCAGATCCCAGCCCAGGATCCCAGCTCAGGACTGGGATCCAGCCCTGGGCTCTGTGGCACCTCCTGCCCACTGGCCCAAAATGGGTCAGAACTGGGGTTCCAGTGTGGGACAGCTCCATTTGTGAGAGGACAGGTATCCAGGGAACAGGGATTTGGTGGGACAGGAAGCTCCCAGCTGGAGTTCAGCTCCACTGATGTCTCCAGGCAGCCTCACCTTGATCTGAGCTTGCCAATTGCTCTTTTCCAAGGAAAGGCAGTGCTGGGACCTTTGGAACCACAGGACAAACACGGGAGGGCTGAGGCAGGAGCCAAAGGCAGCATCAAAAGCAAACCCTTGGTCCAGGGGTTGTGAATTACTTTTGTTAACAAGCTGGGGTTTGTTAATTTGACCCCTGGTGGGTTCAAACCACCCTGGCAGCACTTACCCACTCCCTTCTCACCTCCAGGGGAAGCAGGGATGCAAAGCAAGGCACGGTTACAGCTCAGCCCTGAGCACAGCAGCCCTTTAAACCCCTCCTGCAGGGCAGCAGAGCCCCCAGGAACCTGCTTTAATTGTGGTCAAAATAACTTCAATAAAGGCAACAGAGAGGAGTGACCCTGCTGGGGCTGAGGGGGTTAAAATCGAGCCCATGAGCAACAGGTAACAACAGCTGGATGGTCTCAAAGTCTTTATTTAAGGTATGTGTAGTGCTCCTTAGAATTACATATTCTCAGGGAAAATCTTATTTCCCTGCAAATGTCTCTTTAAAAATTATTTCAGTGCTCTTTAGAACTGTGTGTTTTGGGAAAAATGTTATTTCCCTGCAAATATCTATTTAAAAATGATTTCAGTGCTCCTCAGAATCACATATTTGAGGAAAAATGTTATTTTCCCTGCAATGACAGGGATAAATATGTGCAGAACTGCCTAGAACCATGTATTTTAAGAGAAAAAAAAAAAAGGTTATTTTCACTGCAAATCTCTATTTAAAAATGTGTAAAATGCTTCTTAAAATCACAACTTTTGGGAAAATTGTTATTTTCCCAGCAAGTCTCCCTAAGTGATCACTCCTGCCCACAGAATGTGAACCCAGGGACCCCCCATTTCCCAGGAAAAGCCTCCAGAGTCTCCTCTCCAACACCATTTCCTGCTGCAGCTTTACAACCTCTTGTATCCTCACTCCAGAGCCAGGATTCACTTTGGATTTTCCAGAAGCCCATTCCAAGGTCACAAACACCCAATAAGTAAAAAACCCAACCCCAAAAGGTTCAATCACCAGAACAGGTTTTTTTAAAAACAATAACCATGACAATTTAGGGGAGTCTACAATGTGGATTTCTCCAAAACTCGCTGTTACTGAACTGAACTAAAATGTAAAAGCTCTTAAAACCAATTTTGTTGGGTAGAACCCTGCTGGGAATACACTTCCCCCAGTGAATAATATATAAGAATTCCCCCAGGGATTTTTATTCTGCATGATAAGAACACAGCAATGATTAATTGGTATTAATATCCACTTAATCCCTGCAGCCATTAATCAGGGAATTATAATTTAGAGAGACAAAAGCAAACCTTGCTTCGGAGTTGGACACAACACACTGACAACATCCCAGAAAAACTGGAAGTTATTCTCTATCAACACACCTGCAAACAGTTTTTTGGGATTGGAAGTTTCCTTCCTTGCAATATAAAATTGAAATCACTCATGGCAGAAGCTGAAGGGTTTTCCCAAGGAACATCCCAATCCCTGCTTACCATGACGATGTCTCCAGGCTGGATGGTGATCTCATCGTGGCTTCTGGATTCAAAAGGATACAGAACTCTATAATACACTATTTTTACATCCTCCTGAGCAGAAATGGTTAGAGGAGCTTTCTCTGAGCAAAGGAAACAAACACACAGATACAGAGAGAAGAAATCAAACCACCTGAATTCTGAACACTTGGAAAATGGGAGACAAGAATCACCAAACCTGGCAGGGTCTGCTGAAGCACCTTATTCTCTTTTTGCACAAGGGAAATATAAAAATTGATTATTTAAATACAATTTTCTTATTATTTTCTCCTCTAAACAGCAGGGGAAATCACAGAAACACGGAATGGCCTGGGTTGGGAGGGGTCTCAAAGCCCCTCCAGTGCCAGCCCTGCCATGGCAGGGACACCTTCCCCTGTCCCAGGGTGTCCAACCTGGCCTTGGGCACTGCCAGGAACTGGGAGTCCACAGCCCCTCTGGGCAGGATTTAGTCATAAAAGTGATGCAATCCTTTGGACAAATATTTAAACCAGATTTATATTCCCAAACAGTTCTCTTGTGTATCCAAGGCAATTAAGAGGGAAGCAGGATTCCCAAAACAGACAAAAATCAGGATACAATGCACAGAAAAAGCTCTCAGCTGAAAGTGGCTGTGTGGAGAGCAGAAAAGGAGGGGATTAAATCTTAGATTTCAGGTCATTGGTTCAGTGAGCAAAGGAAGGTGGGAAATGAAAAGGGTGACCAAATGATGTATTATTTTATTATTATTATTTTTATTATTTTATTATTATTGTTCTTACTCTGAAAAATCCCAAGGCATGTATCCCCCACCAAAATAAAAGCTACAGGAACAGTTTTTGACATCTTGCACCCAGCCCCTCCCAGCTGTGCTTCCCCCTCTGCTTAACACCTTTGGGGAGAACCATTGCTGGAGTCTGGAGCTCCATCCATGCCTTCTTTACTTTACCAAGACTCACAATGCAGCCCTGAACACCACCTTGTTCTGTGTTAAATGGGAAAAGAAAAGAGAACTGAGCTGTCCCAGAGCATTCCCTGCTGTTGGACCTTACCTGCATTGGACCACGGAGCCTGGCCGGGCTTGTTCGGCTCCTGGTGGGGCTGGAAGAGTTTACTCAGCTTCTCCTGCATTTCCTGTTTCCCCTTATCCTCACTTTCCTTCTTCCTGGGGAGTTCTTCCCTTTTTTGTTTGTCATCTTCTGGGATTTTTTTTTGCCACTGTGCTTCTTCCTCCGGCTGTCCCCGCTCTGGCCGCGGTTTGTCCTGGATCCGCCTGGGGGACAATGGGGGTTAGAGCCACTCAAACCAAAACCTCCAAAGCTTTTGGGTCATCTCCAGCACCAAGTGTCCTCTTGAGGGTTTTTCCATATTTTGGTGAGTTATCAACCACTCCTCAGCATCTCCTTACGCTGGGAATAATTCCCAAAAATCCAAAACTCGTGGAATGGCTTGGGTTGGAAGGGAGATCCAACCCAAGGTAAGACTCCAAACAGCCAATTCAGAAAGAGAAAAGCAGGAATCAGGGCACGTGGCCATCCTTATCCTCATGCTGAGGAGCAAGGAGAAGGATTTGCAAGTTTTACACAGCACTCCAGAGAGTTATTTGGAATATTTCCCATTCCCAGCCGCCAGAGTTAACAAGTCCTTCCCCTCCACCAGAGGACAAGACATCAAGAAATGAAGAAATATTCTCTGCTGGAAACAATTTGCCCCAGTAAAGCTAACTCTGAAGATCTGAAGGATGCCCAGTGTACTCCAGTCTGTTCCATGGCCTATTCCACCCCTGGAATTTCTCCAGAATTCGAGACAAAGGCCTGAGAAGCAGCTGCTCCTCACACACTTGGTGTGATACAAAGATTAGACTTTGTCCAAGGACACTGTGAATTTCTGATCAAAAACAGTGCCAGGAAAAAAAAAATAATTCATGGAATCCTGGAATCCCTGGTGCTGGAAAAGCCCTCGCAGCCCAGGGAGTCCCAGCTGTGGCCGATGCCCACCTTGTCCCCAGCCCAGAGCCCTGAGTGCCACGTCCAGCCCTTCCTTGGGCACCTGCAGGGATGGGCACTGCAAAGCTCCCTGGGCAGCCCCTGCCAAGGCCTGAGCTCCCTTTCCATGGGCAAATTCCTGCTGCTGTCCAACCAGTCCACTTCCCAAGCACTAGAGGACACAAACCCCATCTGCATCCCTGCAAGTTTTGGGCAGACAGGAATATTTTCCAGGAGATGCCAGGGGAGGTGTTACATTTAGGGCTCCATTAAAGCAGTTTGTTACCTCTGAGCTTCTTTTTGCTTTTCCAGCTCCACTGTCTTCCTTTCCTGTTCCTTCTGTTTCAACCTCTCAGCTTCCAAGCTCTTCTGCTTCTGGAGCTGCTGTTTGTTATGGATTTCTCTCAGCTCCTGGATTACAAAAAGGCAAAGAGGTGTCAACATCCACCCTGTGAATCAGAACTGAGGGCCCCAGAGAGTTCCCTGTGAGGGGACAACACCTGGCAGTGCTTGGGGATCCCCCAAACTCACACTCCTGCTAAATGCAAATATTTCAGGCTCATTCCCAGGGTCTAGGAACCACCTCCTGATTTCCTATTTTTATCCATTAAAGGGTTAGGAGACCAGAAAACCTTTAAATGGGACTCTGAAAAATGGACAAAGCTTAATCTCAACAGTCACTTCTGGTTTGTTTGCTGGTTTATGGAATTCATTTATTAAATTCCATACACAAATCTGCCCTCTCAGCTCACTCTTAATCAGTTTCATTTGCCAATTAATGCTGATTTACTGAAGAACCTTCAAGGCTGGTTTATATGCAGGAGACTGAAATCCTAAAGGAATATCTTTGAGATGAATTGTGGTACAGAGTATTCATTCACATATAAGTCAATTTTTCTTCAATTGCTTGAAAAAATTAGAATATAAATAATAATAATACCATAATATTTTCCTCAAAATTTGTTCACTGTATTAACCTATTAACACAAATCCAACTTTTATCTGGGATTTCTTTGTAGAACCAGGAATTCTGCATCTGAACTCCTCAGCATTACAGGAGAAAAAAGGAAAATTTGCCAATGGGCACTGAGGTTTTTCACTGAAAATAGTTCACTTCAAAAACTGTTATCTTTTCATGAAAACATAGTCCAGGTGAAATTGAAACATTTCATCTTGGAAGTACTTGGGTGGTTTTTCAGAAATTTACAGTCTACAAACCATAGGAAGTTTTCATGTAAAACTCCTCATGCACTGACCCAAATGAGAAAGTTGTGTAAGAGACAAAAAAGTAAATGGAAGGGATTCAATCCCACTGGATATAGGGATGAAACTTTCAAAAGAGAAGCTGATCCTTGTGGCCCAGGTCTCAGTTTTACTTCATTAATGCTCCTCAGTTTTAAATTCAATGAAAACTGAGCACAGCATCATTAAAATGAGAGTCAGTTCTCAGGGAAGTTGGATTTAAAGAGACATTTTAATAATTTAAGTTTTCCCCAGACATTTTAACACACTATTCCCTCCTGGCCAAGCTGATGTGCTGGGTCAGTGCTCTGTGAAAGGATTTTTCTGTGCCTTTTTGACAGAAAGACAACAGGACTTGGGATATTCAGGGATTACAATCCAAGTTTTCCATCAGATTTTCTCCCCTTGAGACAATCAGAGAACTGGATCCCAGAGGAAAGGAGGCTGCAGTTCTGTGCTCCCTGAAGCTTTTCCTTTCCTGCCCCATTCTCCAGCTCCCAAAGCCTCTGCTCTGGTCTTGGCAGCCAATTCCTCCCATCACCCCAAGCTCGGGGGATTGGGCAAAGGAAAGAAGCTGCCACCTCTCTCTCCAGCCTGGAATCACAGATTACAGCCATGTGTAGGGATTCTTCCCATCCAAGTGCTTCCTTTTTAAAAATTCTGAAAATCATGACCAAAACAGGCAATTTACTTAAACTCTCGAAGTTCCAGATAAGCAAGAGACAAAAATAACTCATTAGAACAGTGCCCAAGTTGCAATTCAAGGCACACTCCTGATACAGGCACAAGGATTAGATAAAAATCCAATGCTAAACTCTCTGGTTTTGTTTTGGTGCTGGCACAAACACAGACCCAGTGAAACACTGCACACCCATCTGCTCATGGAAAGTGGGGCACACAGCTGGAGGAGGCTCCTTCTTCAGTGGGTCCAGCCTGAGCAGGGCATGCAGAGCTCTGGGAAAGCTTCAGCCCTCGCTGCCTCTGCCAGGAACTGGGAAAAAAATCTCAGCAAAACTGTTTCAGAGAGATGAACTCGTTCCTTGTGTGCCCTTGGGCAGGAGCAGCAGCAAGAAACTCTGGATTCTTCCATGTCATAGGAAATGGGAATCTGGTCCTTGAAGACTGGAGTCACATCAAGCCTTAAGCTTGGAGGGTCAGTTTAAATCCAGGGATCTCGGGCAGGAATTGTTCCCTGGCAGGGTGGGCAGGGGCTGGGATGGAATTGCCAGAGCAGCTGGGGCTGCCCCTGGATCCCTGGCAGTGCCCAAGGCCAGGCTGGACATTGGGAGCAGCAGGGACAGTGGGAGGTGTCCCTGCCATGGCTGGGCTGGGAATGAGATGAGCTCTGAGGTTCCTCCAACCCAGGCCATTCCATCATCCTAAAATAAACAAGTGACCAGTTCCATTTGATTGATACCTTTATTGATATTAATTATTAGATCTCTAGGCTGAGATTTTTTAAAGAGTACAGAAGTTTCATTTCTTCAACTCTGCTGCCAGGGAACAGGGACAGGAGGAGAGCTCAGGCCTCAGGCTGGGCCAGGGGAGGCTCAGGGTGGGCAGCAGCAGGAATTTGCCCATGGAAAGGGAGCTCAGGCCTTGGCAGGGGCTGCCCAGGGAGCTTTGCAGTGCCCATCCCTGCAGGTGCCCTTTGGGGACAGGGTTTGGGGTGGCACTGGGTGATCCTGAAGGTCCCTTCCCACCCTGAGCACTCTGGCATTCTGTGACTGCCCCTCCAAGAAAGCCAAGGAAGCTGAGCAAGGCAGAAATCCCCCAAACTGCACCTGATCTGCTCCTCCTGGCAGAGGAGTCCCACAATCTCCTCAAAAGATCCCTTCTACTCCTCACAAAGAATGTCTCCACAACTCTTTATCCATTGATTGAAACTAATTCTCCTGTTAAACTGCAAAATCATTTACCTTTAATCAAGGCATTCCTGGACTCCTGGCACATGCTGATAAATCTGTGCTTAATGGGCAACTTCAATTTTTAATTATCACCAGCTTGTGAAGTGCAATCCTTCAATATTTGAAAGACTGAATTTTGGGTGATTGGTTTGTTGGTTTTGGGGGATTTTTCTGCTGTTGTCACAATACCAAGACTGTTCACCCCTCTCCCCATTTATGTTTGGGTAATTTATGATCAAACCAAATACAGGCACTAATTTTAGAATTAATATCCTTTGCTCCAATTTATCACTTTTAAAGGACTCCATTGAAAAAACTAATACCCAAGAAGCACAACATGCTAAGATGTATCCAAAAACCACATATGAAGAAAAAATTAAGCGAGGTTTAAACATCAAGGATTAACTGAGCAAGGATTAAACCATTCTATTTTCTTTGAAATATAAACTGTGCCCATTTTGTTTCTCCTGTGTCTGACTCTGCAAAGATTCTCCCCTTCCATCCTCCCTGTCTCAGACTGGGAGAGTCATCTTCAACTGAACCTTAAAACAGGGCCTCACTTTTAATTTTTCCTGTAATTATTAGTAACTCATATTTAAACAATCTATTTCTTGCTTATATTCAACCCCACCTTCCATCCTAAATTGGTTGATTTAATCCCAGTTGATCAACTTTCATAACAACTCCATCAATGTCTCTGTCACAGTGACTTTCCTGCTGAACACTTGTAGCACAATTTGTGACACCTTGCAGGAAACTGAGCATTTTTGGTCAGCTTTCAGGAGAACCCACCAGTGGAATTAGCAGATAAAGTACTTGAGGATTGGAATATTTTATGAAAAAATGAATGCTATTGGAAGTTTGTAACTACAGACTGATTTCCAGCTTCTCTCTGCAGAACCCTGACACTGCTGGTGCAGAAATACACCCAAAAATCCCAGTTTTAACAAAGACTGAGCAGTAAAGCATGAAACCACAAAACACAGGCAGCTGCACTCAGGGATAAGCAGGAGCACAAGGACAGATAACCATTCTGGGTGGCAGTAGAAAATCAAGTCTCTTGTTCAAGATTTCAATTTCAACTCCTGATTCCAGCAGATTTGCTGACCCTGCCCTGCACTTCTTGCATGCAAAAGAACAGAAATTGGTAATTTCAGTTTTGCAATCATAGATTTGGAATCAGGGTTCAAATTTCCTCCTGAAGAGACTCTGCAGATTAAATTGATTCAAACCCTGAGTTTGAAAGCTGAGCAGCATTTTCTTAAAAATAAAAATTAAATAAAATCCTCAACAAATTGATTTCAGAACTCCCCAAAGTGACATTCTTAATCATTCCAGTTCATTTCTTTCCCCCACAATCAGGTTAGAAAATAATTAACTGAATATTCAGGAAGGCTTAACGAGTCCTGAGTTACCTTCAGCTGATTATTGAAGATATCAATTTCCTGCAGTTTAGATCTGGTTTCTTTCTCCACCTCATCCAGCTGGTCCCGGAGCTGCTGCCGTGCCAGTTCCTTGGCTTCCAAGGCTCTTTTGATGGTGAGAAGGGAATCCCCTGGTTTGGAACACATTGTCAAGTCAGGATTTTCTTCCATGGAACAGTTTAGGTCACAGAAAGCAACATTTTCCCATTTGCACCTTGCAAGACACAAAGAGCAATTCCAGGGGATGCCACAGGGAGGGAAGGTGTCCTGCCCCAGCTCAGGCATGCCCCAAAATCTACTCACTGTGCAAACTGTTCTGCTGGACTTGCTTGAGCTGATCATTCAGGAGCTGCTTCTCTGGAATCAGCCTGCCCAGCATCTGCTGGGACTCCTGGACCAGGCAGGGAAAACAAGAACAGAAACAGGCACAAAGCTGAGTGAGGGACAACTTCAGCCATGAGACCTCTCATTTTCATTTCTGCTCTACTTTTTCCCCTCACTGAATGATGGATTATTGCTTATTTCCCTGCTGCTGTATTATTGCTCTTATCCAAGCAGTGTCTGTGTGATATCCCAAACATTCTCTGCCAGTCCAGAAGAGTGGATATATCAAATTGATCTGATTCTCATTGAATATTGAGCCTGCCTTGGAATTACCCGAAACTGAGGGCAGAGAGACAAGGCTAAATTTGAGGAAATGTTCAAACAATCACTTATTAAATGTTTAAGTCTGATTTTAATAAATGTAACACAGAACCCCAGGATCCTGGTGCTGGAAAAGCCCTCGCAGCCCAGGGAGTCCCAGCTGTGGCCGATGCCCACCTTGTCCCCAGCCCAGAGCCCTGAGTGCCACGTCCAGCCCTTCCTTGGGCACCTGCAGGGATGGGCACTGCAAAGCTCCCTGGGCAGCCCCTGCCAAGGCCTGAGCTCCCTTTCCATGGGCAAATTCCTGCTGCTGCCCACCCTGAGCCTCCCCTGGCCCAGCCTGAGGCCTGAGCTCTCCTCCTGTCCCTGTTCCCTGGCAGCAGAACCCGCCCCCCACCCTGGCTGCACCCTCCACTAACAGTTAATTAATAATATTAATAACAGTCTTAATGATTAGTAACTTAGGTCAGGAATAGAAAGACAAGTATTTACAGGAAGAGAAAACAAAGACTCTTTTTAAAGGAATATATTCTGACCAAAAGCCACGAAACACAAGCCCTGTGGGATGAGAATCCCCAAGTCCTTGATCTCTCCACTCGGAGCTCTTGGAAGAGGATTCTGATCTCTCTCACACTCAGCACATGGTTGGAAGGTTGTGAATTGCTGTGTTTACAGGGGTTCCTGCAGGACATTCTCCTCCTTTGGAGAATCCTATAAATGTATTTCCTGTAGGACCCTTGACCTTTCCAGAGCATGAAGTGCCACCTGACACATTTTCTGAAGCCTTGACCTCCAAGCTCAAGCAGTGAAAACACCTTCAACAGCACGAGGTGAAACAAAACCTGAGTATCAACACCCTATCTTTCCCACAAACCCTGGAACCTCTCTGAGCATTGCAATTCTCTGGAATTGCAGGCTTTTGAGGAATCAAGAAGCTGACAGCTTCAATTTGTCATGGAGGATTGCAAATGACATCACTCAATGCTAAGAAGAAATGTCCCCTGATCCCTGAACACCAGGGCCCCTGAACACCCTGAGCCCCAGGGGTGTCCTGGACTCCCCATCCCTGGCAGTGCCCAAGGCCAGGCTGGACATTGGGAGCACCTGGGACAGTGGGAGGTGTCCCTGCCATGGCTGGGATGGGTTGGGCTTCAAAGTCCATCCCAATGCAAGTCATTCTGTGATCCCACAATTCCAAGTAAAGTTTTGATTTTGGTACCAAAAAGCCAGGATTGACAGCACTGCCATGGCTTTGGGCTGTCCCACTTTCCACCTGCCAGACCCTGATGGGGCTCTGCAGTGCCCAGCTCAGCTCTGAGCATTATGCAACAACTGCAGCCTCCTGTGAGCTCCTTATGTTCCAGAAAATACCCTGAGACAGCACACAGCACAATCAGGGACTTTAGGAATTCACAAGTAGCAAAGCAGCAAAATTGAGATAAACTACAGATTGGATTATGAGGAGCTGCATGTGTCCCTCACTGTTCAGCTGCAGGGCCTGACACAGCAGCAGAGCTGTCCCAGCTCCTCAGGGAGATCCCAAAAACTGGATAATCCTACCCTGCACTGGGGCAGCCTCACCTCCAGTGCTGGGGACAGCTCTGGGGGGCTCCAGAAAAGATCAGAAGCTGTTGGAAAGTGTCCAAAGGAGGGAGCCGGGGATGGGGAAGGGTCTGGAGGGGCCCCACGAGGTGACTGGGTCAGTTCAGCCTGGAGGAGCCTGAGGTCAGAGCTCCCCGGGGCTGCAGCTCCTCCCGAGGGGCAGCGCAGGGACAGCTCCGGGCTCTGCTCCTGCCACAGGGACAGCAGCAGGGNCCAAGGCCTGAGCTCCCTTTCCATGGGCAAATTCCTGCTGCTGCCCACCCTGAGCCTCCCCTGGCCCAGCCTGAGGCCTGAGCTCTCCTCCTGTCCCTGTTCCCTGGCAGCACAGCCCGACCCCCACCCTGGCTGCACCCTCCACTAACAGTTAATTAATAATATTAATAACAGTCTTAATGATTAGTAACTTAGGTCAGGAATAGAAAGACAAGTATTTACAGGAAGAGAAAACAAAGACTCTTTTTAAAGGAATATATTCTGACCAAAAGCCACGAAACACAAGCCCTGTGGGATGAGAATCCCCAAGTCCTCGATCTCTCCACTCGGAGCTCTTGGAAGAGGATTCTGATCTCTCTCACACTCAGCACATGGTTGGAAGGTTGTGAATTGCTGTGTTTACAGGGGTTCCTGCAGGACATTCTCCTCCTTTGGAGAATCCTATAAATGTATTTCCTGTAGGACCCTTGACCTTTCCAGAGCATGAAGTGCCACCTGACACATTTTCTGAAGCCTTGACCTCCAAGCTCAAGCAGTGAAAACACCTTCAACAGCACGAGGTGAAACAAAACCTGAGTATCAACACCCTATCTTTCCCACAAACCCTGGAACCTCTCTGAGCATTGCAATTCTCTGGAATTGCAGGCTTTTGAGGAATCAAGAAGCTGACAGCTTCAATTTGTCATGGAGGATTGCAAATGACATCACCCAATGCTAAGAAGAAATGTCCCCTCATCCCTGAACACCAGAGTGAGCCCCAGGGGTGTCCTGGACTCCCCATCCCTGGCAGTGCCCAAGGCCAGGCTGGACATTGGGAGCACCTGGGACAGTGGGAGGTGTCCCTGCCATGGCTGGGATGGGTTGGGCTTCAAAGATTGGGAGCACCTGGGACAGTGGGAGGTGTCCCTGCCATGGCTGGGATGGGTTGGGCTTCAAAGTCCATCCCAATGCAAGTCATTCTGTGATCCCACAATTCCAAGTAAAGTTTTGATTTTGGTACCAAAAAGCCAGGATTGACAGCACTGCCATGGCTTTGGGCTGTCCCACTTTCCACCTGCCAGACCCTGATGGGGCTCTGCAGTGCCCAGCTCAGCTCTGAGCATTATGCAACAACTGCAGCCTCCTGTGAGCTCCTTATGTTCCAGAAAATACCCTGAGACAGCACACAGCACAATCAGGGACTTTAGGAATTCACAAGTAGCAAAGCAGCAAAATTGAGATAAACTACAGATTGGATTATGAGGAGCTGCATGTGTCCCTCACTGTTCAGCTGCAGGGCCTGACACAGCAGCAGAGCTGTCCCAGCTCCTCAGGGAGATCCCAAAAGCTGGATACTCTAATCCTACCCTGCACTGGGGCAGCCTCTCCTCCAGTGCTGGGGACAGCTCTGGGGGGCTCCAGAAAAGATCAGAAGCTGTTGGAAAGTGTCCAAAGGAGGGAGCCGGGGATGGGGAAGGGTCTGGAGGGGCCCCACGAGGTGACTGGGTCAGTTCAGCCTGGAGGAGCCTGAGGTCAGAGCTCCCCGGGGCTGCAGCTCCTCCCGAGGGGCAGCGCAGGGACAGCTCCGGGCTCTGCTCCTGCCACAGGGACAGCAGCAGGGAGCGGCTGCAGCTGGCCCAGCAGGGATTTAGGTTGGCTTTTAGGGCAAGGCTCTTCTTTCCCCACAGGCTGCTGGCACTGCCCAGGCTCCCCAGGGAATGGGCACGGCCCCGAGGCTGCCAGAGCTCCAGGAGCATCCAGGGATGCCCAGGCTGGGCTTGTTGGGGGGTCTGGGCAGGGCAGGGGGGCACTGGGGGATCCTGGGGGTCCCTCCAGCTCAGGATATTCCATGAGTCCATTCTGGGACTACTGGGAAACAGCAACATACACAATATATAAGCTTGCTGTGGTGGGAGGTTCCCTGCCCATGGCAGAGGGTGGATGAGCTCTAAGGTCCCTTCCAAACCCAACCCCTCTGTGTTTCTGTGATTCTGACAATGCTGCAGATCAACCAAGCAGCAGAATGGGCATCAACATCAAGTAGAAGTTCTCCTTCTCCAAGTACAGAAAGCACCACAGGACAGCATTTGAGGGTGGAATGTGATCACAACATCAGCTGCTTTGTTTGTAAAGGCCAGAACACTTCCAAACATCCCAGATTACTCAATGCACGAATAGTTTGGGGAGTGTGTAAGGACAGAGAATGCCAAGGGATCAGGAAGGTCAAGTCCTGTTTCCTGAAAGCACAGACAACCACGGAATAAGCATCTAGCCAAGAACAGCCACCACATGGATCCCACATCCCTTCCTTGTACTGAAGGAACACATGAAAGAAATTAACGGCATCAGAAACTCTGGAAATTGGTGCAACAAGAAATGGCCAAGAGTTGAGTCATGTCCCACATGGCAGGGGAAATCAAAACCCAGCTCCTGCCCCTTGGACAAGTGAAAATTCTCTTTTCAAAGTTCAGCAAGGAGCTCAGTGATCCCTGCAGGAACTGAGCAAGCCCCACACAGCACAAACGTGTTTCAAACACTGCCCAGGTGCTGGGAGAGCAGGATCCTTCTGAGCACCCCTGCAACTGGCACAGCTCCTCACCACCAGGATTAACTGGGACACCACTCCTTCCACAGGTTAAATGAAACTGCAGCTTGGAAGTAATTAATAGGCTGAAGAATAATTACTCCTTTGAATTAACTCATCTTCCCACAGGAAGTGTCAGATGTATTAAACTAAACTCCTTCCAATGAAGATTTATCACCCTACAAAGAAAATGACAATATTGACTTTTTAACCTATTTGAGAGTTTAGAGGATGAAAATCTCCTTTTTTAAAACTCATTTACATCTTTAGTCTGTCCTCTACAGATGAGACAAGAAAATTTACAGGATATTTGGAAAAAAAAAAAAAAAATTGTTTTTCAGGAAAAAGCTCAAAGGTTCTCCCTAGACAAAATGTGTCCTTTCCTCCTAAAGTAGAGACATTTTCTAGGATCACAATTGGGATAAAAACACCTCAAGTGACACTAAGAAATATCAGTGGTGGAGATCAATGAGAGCAGACATCACCACACAGCTATTGCTGCCAAACCACCTCAAAGCCCAGAACCCAAGAGAACAAAATTTTTCTGGGAAAGCAGGAGTGAAGCTGGGATGGAAAAGCAGGATTAGGTTTTACACCTCAGCTCCCTAAGTGTGAGATTCTTTGTGGTGGTACAAACACACTGAGAGCCCCCATTACCAGCCAAGAATTAATTTCAAGCCCTATAAAGTATTGAATAAAGAGAAAAATTCCTCAGTTAACTACTACAGCCCACTGAAAAACCCTTACAAACGATAAGAAATATTCTTTCACTAAAGGCAGACACCTGCTCAACTCCAGCTCTGATGTGACAGAATTTTACATCAATAAGAAAGGCAAATGGACCAACAACTCCCTGCTTTCACTAGGAACTTCCATTCTGAAAGTTCATTATTTTTTATAATTAAAAAAAAACATCAACAAGCCACTTCACTGCAACCAGTTCTTTCCTCCAACACACAAACAGCAAAATTTACACAGGACAATTTCCTTCTCCTGATCCCCAACAACACCTGCAGCCAAAGCATTTCCTGCTCCCCACAGCAGGAGGATGAAGGGATAATCCCAGACAAACCTTCAAGTGTAGGAAGCAGTTCCTAGACACCTCTGAAGGACATTAATTTACAGGAATGACTAATTGTCTACAGTGAGCCTTTAAGTGTGAGAAACAGCTCATTCCAGGTTTGCTCAGGATATTGATGTTTTTGAGGAGATCAAGATTCAAGGCTAAGCATAAAATGAGAGAATGTTTTCTCACCTGTAGCTGCTGCTGCAAATGGGTGATTTCTGCAATTCTGAGCTCTCTGGATTTATTTGTACTTTCTATTTCTTGTCTTTGGGTCGACAGCCGACACCTGATATCCTGAAGCTTCCCCTCCAACTGATTTCTCTTATCATTCTTTAAAAAAAAAAAAAGAAAAATATCTATTTTATAATGTGAGGTTTTTTTTAATGTTTGATTGTGCAAATCTGGATCTACTTTTATTCCATATTTAAAACAGAAATTCTAGACAACAAACACAGCCAGGGCACAGTCACCACCACGCTGTGCTCGTGTGTTTGAGCTGTGCCATCACCACTCACAAGAGCTTCCAGTTCAAATTCCAGGGTTTTCTTCTTTGCCTTCAGCACCACGATGTCCTCCTGCTCCTTGTTCCTCTGGTTCAGCAGCTCCTGCCGCCGGTTGCGCTCCCACTCCAGCTGCCTCTGCCTCTCCAGCTCCCGTTTGGCAGCCTGCAGATTCAGAAAGAAACATCTGGCATTTCAAGTATTCATGTTCTGATATTCACTTCGAACTTTGGTACAAGCTGAGGGCTGCTCTGTGCTCTGCACACACAGATTGCTCGGTGGTTGCAATGCTTCCCTGCACAGCAGAGGTGACTGAACAGAAAACCTCTCTCTTTTCCTGTTTCCCAAGATCCAGTTTGCTGATTTAACAGGTTGTTTAATACTAGGACTGGGAGAACTCTCCAGGACACATTCAAATCTCTTGTCAACCTCCAACTTTAGATCTTCTGTAGCTTTGCAAAGCACAGCCAAGTGTTTCTGTGCTGAACCTATTGTGGCTTGGCAATGGGAGAAAAAAGGAGATTTTTGGGTTAACCAGGGTGTGTCTCCTTTAACAAATTGAAGGCCAGGTTGGATGGTGCTACCCCTGCCCATGGCAGAGGATCTTTAAGGTCCCTTCCAACCCAAACTATTCTGGGACTTTGTGAAATGAAAATCACAAAATGCCAAAAAAGTTTTTCTTCATTCATTCGTGCACCTCTTAACATCAAATATAATAAATAATAATAATAATTGTTATTAAAGGAGTGAGAGGTCAGGAGGGTGTTGTCCTAGCTGTCAATGTCTCAACCATTCATTTCACAGGACAAATGAAGCAAACCCCACCCATTCCTTGTCTTTAACACCCCAGAAATTTGAATTCCTGCTTTAAGAGTTTGCTCCCCACCCTGGCAGCAGCACACTGAGTGCCTGGCACACAACTGGATCCCCCCAAGCCGGGGCACAACTCCTCCCTGTGCTCCCCTGGCTTACCTCTCTCCTCTCAATTTCCTTCCTCCTCTCCTCCTCGCGCTGCCGCTCCAGCTCCCGCTGTTTCTCCAGCTGCTTCTCCAGCTCCAGCTGCCGCTTGCGCTCCTGCTCCTGCCGCTCGCGCTCCTTCCTCTCCTGCTCGGCCCTCTCCAGCTGGGCCAGCCGCTCCTGCTCCTTGCGCTGCTGCTCCAGCAGTGCCTGCCTGCGCTTCTCCAGCTCCAGGTTACCCCGCTCAAAGTTCTCCCGTTTCTTGTCCTCGAACGTCACTTTGTGCAGGGAAACACGGGGCCAAAGGACAGTTACGCTCTGCCACGGGCCTCGAAACAAACCAACCACAGAAACCCAAAGGAATCCTAGCACTGTGAATCAACCTTCCAGCAGGAGAGGATGCACCTCCCCGCCAGGGATAACAGCTCCACAGGCCAGCCTGGGGTTTAGCATTAGCACTGACATTGCTGAGCCCCTCAAAGCCACATCCTCAGCAAAACAAGGAGGGAATTTCCATTCCCGTTCCTCAGGCCTCCAGCTTTCTCCACAAAGCTCAGCAAGTGGGGATAACCTAGACAAACCAGCTGATCCTCCATGAGGACATGGATCTGGAATTCCTCTGTACATTGGATAATAGCAGCAGCCCAAGAGCCAACACTCCCATTAGTGCAGAAAAAAGAATTCAGCTGCTGACATCATCAAAAGGCCATTATGCAAATGACCAGAACTAATTTAAAGTTGCTGTTCTCATTAGATTACTCATTACTGTCAGGAAGAGAAATGGTTTAGGTTCTTGAGCAGCTGAGGCCAGGAAGTCTGGATTCCTGCAGATCCACATCCTCACCACCTACTGTCCTAAAAGAACAGCCTCACTTCCAGCACACCCTCTGCAGTCCCAGGCACTGCCCCTCCTTCCCCTCCCTCCAAATGATTCTTTCACTTCCCCTTCTGATCCTTTTCATACCCTGTGTCCCATTCCCACAGCCCAAAGCCCAAATCTCTCTCCCTTGTGTGGCCAGCTTGGGCATTTTTGGGATGCAAGGCCAGGAAGAACCCACACTGCCTTCCACATGTGCACAGCTGGACACATGCCCAACATCTGCTGAAACGGCTGAATTCTTCTTTTCCAGTTTGTGCCCCTTTCCAGCTGCCAATTCCCTCTTCCTTTAGCTCTTTTCCTGGAACTGCTGAAGTCTGTAGTAAGCCCCACACTGTTACACAGACCCCAAGGAAACTGGAAGGTCTCTGTGGGAATACTGGGATCTTTCACAGATTTGTGATCAGCCAAGCTTTGCTCCACCTAAGCCAGAGGATGAAGGCAGCAGGAATTTTTCCTTGCAATTCCCTGTGCCAGGGCTGCAAAGGGCTGAGGAGTGAAGGAGATGAGGAGCCTGAAGGCTCTTCCCATCTCCAGTGCTTCCAACCCCAAGGATCAGGCACAGGAATGAACTGGACCCAGCAATGTGCCTCTGACCTGTCCCAAACTGCTCTGGAAAAACAACATTTCTCAGTCAGCCCATGTAACCTCCCAGGCTGTGACCTGATAGGAAAACCCCTCTGAGAACAGCACACTAAATATTTAAATATTTATTTATCCTGTTTTCCCTTGCTCACCTGGTAATTTCTTTTCCAGTTGCTGCTGTTCTTCTTCCAATGCTGGTTCTTCTGGTAACCTTTGGTCTACAGACACTGAACTGGCAGCAGAAACTCCACTGCCAGAGCGGACTCTTCTGCCAAGGAAACAGGAATTACAGGTGCTTAACAGAACCCAGGCCTACCCAAATTATTTCTGATTTAATGATGAGATCAAATTAAATGCAATGATGTAATGTTTAATGGTACTCGGTGTTCATTCAGTGCTGCCCAGAGGGTCTCACTCAGGCATTGCCTCAGGAGAACAGGATTTTCCAGGATCCCAGGAGCTGAGAACCCCAGTCCCAAATTCTGCTTCCAGATGGGTTCAACCCTGTCCCAAAGATCTCTCACTTGGGGGGAGATTTTTCCCCAGGCAGTCTGGGTTTGGGGAAATGCTGACTTTAACTACAACAAAAATAGCAGAGGCAGAGCCCACTATAGTCAAGCTAAAAGCAAGATCCCAGGTGGAATACACAAAACTTGGGAATCTTTAGGAGGATACCTGAAAAACATGGTATAAAAACACTTATTTCCCTTGCTGTTGCTGCCTTCCCTTCTATTTCTCCACAAAGTGAAATGGAGCAAGAGCAGTGATGAGTGACCCCACTGTTCCCAGACCCAGCTGTACCAAAAGAGATCTGGATTTGGTGCAGTGCAAATCCATACTGGAATTCCAAGACATTCCAACTGCTCCACAGGAGGATAAACCTGAACTTAAATCTAGATTTCTATGGCCAGACTGAGCAAATTTGGAGAGCGTGCCAGCATAAACACCCACCCAAACCCTGTTCTTACAGGCAGAAGGTGAGGGCTCAGTGTTCTGCTCTTGGCTCTCACAGAACCATCCCAAAGGAAATACAAAACTCAGGAGTGAGATTCCCAAGGGATGAGCAGTTACCTGAAGGAAGGTGGGATGTACTCAGGGGGCAGGGCAGGTGGCAGTGGCTGACCAGACATCGCTACATCAATGAGGTGCATAGCCAGGATAAACTCCTCAGCTGTCAGCTTCCCATCTTGATCAATGTCAGAGAGATTCCTTGTTAAAGGGAAGGGGCAAAGCAAGGAAATTATGAAATATTAAAAAACACTGGTCAAAGGCATTGTTTCAACATATACAGTTCTAAATTCATTCCATTTTTTTCACTATTTTTTCCACACTACTCTGCTTTTGCAAAACAAATGAAAAGCAAACTCCTATTTCCCCCATTTTTCATGGCTGTCTGTCTGAAATCCAGCCTTGCAGCCACTTCTCCTTCACCTGCTCTGAGTGCTGCCTGGAGCACGTGCCAGAGAAGGAGCTTTAACCACTGGAGCTCTCCTGAACATCCAAAAAACCAGCTCAGGTGTTTGGCAGAACTTTTAGGTTTGGTCTCCTTCCTCCCTGGAGGCTCCTATCTCACATTCCAGGGCACCCACTGGCAGTGAAATCAAAGCCACTGATGTTGCAGTCCTGACAAGCACCAACCCACCCTGGCACTATGCACATATTAAAAATGATGGAGTAATGTCTCTGGATGGCCCAAAGCAAAGCTCCAACAGAGGCACAAAATGCTTTTACTGCTGCTAAGGTGGTGTTGGATTAAATTAACAGCCAGGGACAGCAGCAGGGAGCGGCTGCAGCTGGCCCAGCAGGGATTTAGGTTGGCTCTTAGGGCAAGGCTCTTCTTTCCCCACAGGCTGCTGGCACTGCCCAGGCTCCCCAGGGAATGGGCACGGCCCCGAGGCTGCCAGAGCTCCAGGAGCATCCAGGGATGCCCAGGCTGGGCTTGCTGGGGGGTCTGGGCAGGGCAGGGGGGCACAGGGGGAACCCTGGGGGTACCTCCAGCTCAGGATTTGTTTCTCCAGCATGCTGCACTGTAATCATGCAGGAAAATCTCCCATGATACTATGAAAATCAAAGTGAAATAAGTGATAAATTCTTTTGAAGTCCCAAGGCACAGGAATTTGCTGATGGGATTCAAGTTTGGGAGACCATCACTCAACCCACACCTGTGACACTGAAGTAACTCCTCAGGCTGGAGCACAGGAAGAAGCCAGGAGCTTGGGAATGTGCCATGCACAGAAACTGCTGATCAGCTGGCAGATACCTGGGTGAGAACTCCCAGGACAGCCCAGAGGCTGAGCATCAGCTCCTCCCTTTGAGTGTCTGAGTCAGGGATTTCAGCTTCAGCTGACAAACCTCAGCCCAGACAGCAGCAGCCCCCCAGTAGGGCTCAGGAAAGGACCAGCAAGAGCTGGAATATCCCCTCCTTATCTCAGTGCATTGGCAGTTGTGAATATCCCCAGCTGAGCAAGTCCTGTCTGCAGCTCCTGGAGCGAGCTGGTGGCAGCTGCCTGCCCACACAAGCACTCCAAGGCTGGCAAAAGCAGAGCATTTCTTGGTTAATCATCTGCTGGGGGACTGGGTTGGTTTGTTTTTATCCCTTTGTTAGGAAACAGAGAAGGAAAGAGTGGTTTTTAATTTATAACACAACTCCCAGTGCTTAGCAAAGAGAACAAGTGCAGCTGAATGGCCTTGTCAGAGTGACTGCACCACTGCCATCCTCACACTGAGCCCCTGGGCCAGCTCCAACACTTCTCAAGCAAACACTCCTAAAGGACAGAAGTTAATTAGGAACAACTTTCCATGGGGCAATAAAAACATAATAAAGTTCAGCAAACAACAAGCTGGAAGGAAAAAGGGAAGCTGAGACAAATCCTTTTAAAATCCATTATTGTAAAGGTCTCTAAGTCCAGCCCTTGGGAAATCAGCCCTCCCAAAGCCATGGAAAAGGCAGAGAAACCTCACAGAAAGTGTGGTTTGGGTGAAGATTCCTCTTCTGCCACCTGTGCAAAGGTAAATGTTTCCCTGGTGTTCTGTCAGGGGATGTGGAAGGCACAGGAACATCTGCTCTGCCTAAAAACCCAGCACTGAACCCCAACTTCCAAAACATCACACAAAAGATGCTGCTGGTGCTCTTTTGGAATAATATTAATAAAGGCATAGAAGTGGAGGTTTTGTTTATAAAGTTACACATGACAAAGAGCAACGTGTGAATTATCAGTGGGACTGAAAATGGAGAAAACCCCAGGGACTCCAGTGCAGAGGTTTCAGAAGAATTTGTGTTTTGTTGGAAATGGAAACATTTATTTTACCATATTGTAGCCAGCTGAGCCTGGGGTAAACTTGACTGCATAAGAATCGTTCTTGCTTGGGGACCTAAAAGGGAAACAAATATTAACAAAATTAGCAAGAAATGTGACCAGCAGGAACTTGGCTCCCCCAAATAACCAAGAAAAAATACTTCACTTCTGCACAACCACAGAATCTCACGCTGGTTTGGGTTCTGAGGGACCTCAGAGCTCATTTCATTCCCAGCCCTGCCATGGCAGGGACACCTCCCACTGTCCCAGCTGCTCTCAGTGTCCAGCCTGGCCTTGGGCACTGCCAGGGATCCAGGGGCAGCCAAATCACTCAGATTAAAACCCAAGAAAGCTCTAAACCAGAGCCATGCACAGAACTGGTGAAATCAAGCCAGACTAGTCTCTCCCTAGAGCTGGACACTGCTCCCAGCAGTGGCTGAACCAAGCACTGGAAATGGTTGCATGAGTTTTCACAGAGCCCATTGGACCCTTTTCCAGAAACATTTCCCAGAGTCAACTTTGCAGAAAATAAAGGAAAGGTGGTGATAAAATGATCCCAGCTGCAATGAATATTTGCTTCTAAACAAGACCATTAAGCACCTGGGAGATTCAAACAGGAAAACACTGATGAGTCTCTTCTCTGTGAACAACACCCTCAGTGGCATGAAATTGGCTCTTACAGCTGGAAACAAGGAGACAACAGAAGCTGTGCCAGTACCTGTCAAGTGTCCACTCATGGTTTTGTCGTGGCTGTTGAAGAGCTGCCGGTACTTGAGCCGTGAGGACTGAGGCACAGCCCACTCTGCCACGGCAGGAGAGCTGCAAGGACAGCAGGGAGAACAGGGAGAATTGGAAATTCCATCTCAGGAAGGCAATGGCAACAATCACAGAGTCATAAATCACAGCAGGGTTTGGGCTGGAGGGACCTCAGAGCCCACCCAGTGCCAGCCCTGCCATGGCAGGGACACCTCCCACTGTCCCAGGAGCTCCCAATGTCCATCCTGGCCTTGGGCACTGCCAGGGATCCAGGGGCAGCCCCAGCTGCTCTGGAATTCCTGTGCCAGGCCCTCAGCTCCCTCACAAGAGGCTGAAGTGCTGCACTGAGATCAAGTTTTACGCCTGAAAATGTTCTTTTCCCCAGTTTTGCTGTGAGGGTGGGGAGGTACTGAAGTGTCCCAGAGCAGCTGGGGCTGCCCCTGGATCCCTGGCAGTGCCCAAGGCCAGGCTGGACATTGGGAGCTCCTGGGACAGTGGGAGCTGTCCCTGCCATGGATGGGGTGGCACTGGGTGGGATCTGAGGTCCCTCCCACCCCAAACTATTCCATGATTGCATGATCTAATATTCCCAGCTATTCCTGAAACCACCACAGGTTTGACCTCTTGTCTGCAAACATTTATCACAATTCAGTCTCTTGGGAAATAATTTTTTTCCTAAGAGTTTTGTTTTTTTTCTTTACTGGCAGAGAATGAAGGAACCTAAATTGTTCAGAGGAGCTACAAGCTCTTACCTAAACATGTAACAGGAAATGCAGAATAACATTTTACCCTGTCTTTAACTGTTTCTCTTAGCCAAATAGAGCTGATGAAGGAAAAGAAATGTAAAATATACTGGAAATGTAAAAAAAAAAAAGGTGTGAAAAAGCCACATTTGAATGTAAAGTTTCTCATAAGGGAACGAGTTCTCATAGAGCTCACTGGACCCTTTTATATTCCCAGTTTCAGTTCACTCCCATTGCAGGCTGAGCTGATTTGCAGCTCTAATTTCCCAGGCTTGATGGCTGAGAAGTCTTAATTCTGAAAAACAATGAGCAGAGTTTTTCTGCCTTTAGGCACATTCAAACTTTGTCCTTTTTTTGACCTTATAAACCACTCTCACGTGACAAGACACAAACCAGTATCTCTATTTCTATTTTTGATTTCCAAACTCTTGAGCTTTAATAATACCCTTCATGGGAGCAAAAAAAACCCAAGCTGGATAATATATTATAATAATCTTATTTTCAATAATGAAAATAAGAAAAAAGGTTAAATATTTAATTTTTACTCATAGGAATTCCTCCTCAGTTTTGCTGGATTTGGGAGTTCCATACATTTTAACTTCTGTGTTACACATAAATTATATCAGAGCATCCCTATTCTGTTCATGGCTGGTTTAGATTTCAGAGAGAAAATGAACTGCTTTGAAAGACTTTTAATTATTTGCCAATACTGAATAGTGTCACTTATCTAATAGCAGGGCAATAAACAAGCCTGCAGAAGGAAATGAAAATAAAACCAGATCATTTAATTGTGTTCCAACCCATTTTCCTCTTGCAAAAATCCTGTGCCATAAAAAACCTGCCACAGATCTGTGAGACAGATGATTCACAAGGACTTTGGGAAATCCCTCTCTCATCTCCTCTAAGGAAGTTCTATTTTGTTACAACCATTTTTTAAAACCCTTTCTGCCCAACCACACATTTTTCTAGGCCTTGGAATAATCTAAAAGCCTTTTAAGTGACTTTTCACATAGAACTTTAAGAATATAAAAGAAACAGTGACGTGGAGTACATTTAAAATATGAGACATATTAAATATTTTGCTTTTGGCAATTACCCTGGAGTTGCTAATTTTAAATAATGTATTACTTGTCTTGTTTTCCCAGTACCAGGAGAGTCTGTGCATGATGCAGGTTTTGTTTATAGAAGCAAATGCTGTTCTAAAAATCAAGTGAAGATGTCAGAGCTGTTAGTAGTTAATTATTTTATTTCCATGACTCCCTGCTCCTGGAGCATTCCCTGTAAAGCCACAGCACCCCACGGAATGCTGAAGTGGTACCTCTGCAGGAACTGATTTCTGCCAGAACTATTATTTCAGACAACCACCTTGGGAAAGGGAAGTTTTCCCAGCCCTGGGGACCCAACCCTCCCTGGCTGCCCCTCCCTGCCCCAGCCCCACCTGGCCACGTCGAAGGATTGTGCCTTTTGTAGCTTTGCATTGAGCTGAGCTCCCGGCCCCGAGCGGCTGAAGGAAGAACTCTTTGGCAAAGTGGCTGGGAAGAGAGAAAACAGGGATTTATTGCTATTCCCATGACATTCATTCAGCTCCTACATCAAGTACAAGCACTGTGGGTCTGATGGGAACTTTTTTAACAATATAAAGATCAGAGAGTCCAGCAGGACAGGGGGAAACACAAGGGCACTTCCCTCGTATCTTTTTACTTCCACAGCTTTGTGGAAACCCTGTTGATACCAAATTACATTTTGGTAGGTGTTAGAAACCACATGTAGCTCAGTATTAAAGTCACCCTAACAAACAGCAGTACTTCAGTAGCTATAAAGAGACAGGAGAGGCCCAATTTCCAGGCAACAGTTTCCTGGCAAGTTCATTTCTCCAAGTGCTGTTTTATCTTCTCACCACGAGGGACTCCTGCGGGAGGCCACGTCCACATTCCTTCCTTTAGCTCTTCTCCAAGTGTGCCAAGTGGGCTAGAGCAAAGCACAGTCCTTCCCCAAAGGCATCACTCGGAGTGGCTAATTCCATGTGTCCCAAGGAAATGCAGGGGAGCTGTTAGGAGCAGGAGACAGAGAGTGAGAGCAGCGTACCGGGGTGAGCGAAAGCAGGCAGGGGCTGGATGACAGCAGGAGCTCCGTTAGCCAGGGGAGGGACGGCGGCAGGGACAGAGGACACCAGTGGGGGGGACATCCCCACGACTGGGATGGATGCCATGGGCACTGGGGCCACAGTGGAGAGGGATGGCATGTTGGCAATGCCCCCGAGACCTACGGGCGAGAAAAGCACAGGTTGGTTCTGATGCGCGCCCGCAGGGGCACCGACAGCTCCAGCGGCAGCTCCCGAGCCCTGGGACAGCCCTCCCAGCACAGCAGGGACAGGAACGGGACACAGGGCACAGGGACAGCCCCACAGCACTGCCCCAAACTGTCCTGCAGCACCTGCAAACAAAGGAACTGTGGGCCTTGGAAGGAGTGAGGAGCAGCACTGGCAGGCCCAGGAAGGAGTGAAGCCCCAGGCTGAGACAGGAGCTGCAGGATTGGATCCCCCAGGAGCTGCAGGATTGGATCCCCCAGGAGCTGCAGGATTGGATCTCCCAGGAGCTGCAGGATTTGATCCCCCAGGAGCTGCAGGATTGGATCCCCCAGGAGCTGCAGGATTGGATCCCCCAGGAGCTGCAGGATTGGATCCCCCAGGAGCTGCAGGATTTGAACCCCCAGGAGCTGCAGGATTGGATCCCCCAGGAGCTGCAGGATTGGATCCCCCAGGAGCTGCAGGATTGGATCACCAGGCTGACCCAGGAGCTGCAGGATCAATGCTCCAGCCTTTAGTTGGGATGAGACAGGGCAAAGCTAATGGGGAGAGCAGAGGAATGAGGGGAAGCAGAGCTCAGGGAACCAGGGAGGTTAAGGAGGGCCAGCGGTGCCAGGGGAGGAACAAGGGGTGTGCAAACAGCTCACATCAATCTACAGGGAATGAGAATCACCCATTTGGCAGGGGTTTGTGGGGGTTCATTTCATTTTGCCTTTTGTCACTTAACCCTGTATTTGCTGTGCCCAGTTTCACTGTTTTCTTCCAAAGAATTTTATTTCTGACTGTGAAACATGTGGGGGTTGCAGTGGATCAAACCACACTGCCACACTGCTGCAAGCAGTTTATCAAAGGCACTGTTCCCTTTTCTCTGGACATTTAGATGGATCTTGGGCAGGAATTGTTCCCTGGCAGGGTGGGCAGGGGCTGGGATGGAATTGGGCTGGGATGGAATTGCCAGAGCAGCTGGGGCTGCCCCTGGATCCCTGGCAGTGCCCAAGGCCAGGCTGGACATTGGGAGCTCCTGGGACAGTGGGAGGTGTCCCTGCCATGGCAGGGGTGGATCAGGACAGGTTTTAGGGTCCCTTCTGACCCAAACCATTCCATGATTCCCAGGCACAACAACCCTGAGTACAGCAAAGACTAAAGCAGAAAGGGAAAGAACCTCTCATGATAGGAGTCAGAGGTTCAGGTTTATTTAGTTATTTTCATTTTCCCATCCCATCTTCCCTACTCTTTTCCTAGAAATGATGGTGACTTTGGCAATACCTCACCCCAATAGCTGTTCACTTCCTACCAGAGCAAAAGGTGCAGGGATTGTAAAGAACATCAGAGCAGATCTTGCCAAAGCTGGAGATCCAGTAATGCCAACAGTTTAAATCACAACTCCAGCCCTTTGGAATGCACTAGCCCTACTACCTGAGCCATGTTTTGTTTGGAGCAGTGCAAACCTGAAGCAAACAGGAGCTCAGCTCAGGTAAAAGCCCAGTGCAATTTGTCTCAGTGCGCTGGCAGTATCTGAGTTTGAGTCCATGTGCTTCTAGAAGCACATTTCCCTAAAGTTTTCTTGGAGAAACTGCAAAAGGACAAAGGAATTGCTTCAGTCCCAGGGAACAATGAGGAAGATGGAGGAAAACAGGGATCTTACCAAATCCTGGGGCACCGGGCAGGGCGAGGGGTGGCTGCTTCATGACGGGCGGCAGCGTGGCCGGGAGCTGGTACCCCTGGAGCTTCAGCTTGATGAGTTTCATAGCTATGGAAAACTCCAAGGGATCCATCCTCCCATCATTGTTCATGTCAGCTAGAGCCCTGCAAAACACAGTGTTTTCACAGTTACATTCTGCAACCAGCAACTTCAGGCCCTGCCCCAGGAGCAGGCTCATGTGAGTATGGATAGTCAAGGCTGATAGAGGGGCTGAGGGAGCTGGGAAGGGTCTGGAGCCCCAGGAGGGGCTGAGGGAGCTGGGAAAGGGGCTGAGCCTGGAGCAAAGGAGGCTCAGGGGGCCCTTGTGGCTCTGCACAAGTCCCTGGCAGGAGGGGACAGCCGGGGGGGTCGGGCTCTGCTGCCAGGGAACAGGGACAGGAGGAGAGCTCAGGCCTCAGGCTGGGCCAGGGGAGGCTCAGGGTGGGCAGCAGCAGGAATTTGCCCATGGAAAGGGAGCTCAGGCCTTGGCAGGGGCTGCCCAGGGAGCTTTGCAGTGCCCATCCCTGCAGGTGCCCAAGGAAGGGCTGGACGTGGCACTCAGGGCTCTGGGCTGGGGACAAGGTGGGCATCGGCCACAGCTGGGACTCCCTGGGCTGCGAGGGCTTTTCCAGCACCAGGAATTCTGGGATTCTCAGTAATTTCCACCCAAAACTATGCTGGGCTAAAAATAAGACCCCATTGAAACTTAAGAGCTCCTTGATTTCTTTCCTGGGATGATTAATAAATAATTTTCAAGTTGTTTTTCAACTCTTGGAGGAATTGCAACGAAGCATCCAGAACAAATGTAGCTGTACAAAAACTTTGCAAAATCACACCAATGAAAGCACAGAGTCCTCAAACAGCAGCAGAGAGAAGCAAACCACTGAGTCTGCAAATCTGTACTTTAGCTCCACTTAAAATAAAACATTCTTTAAATGTGTGACTCCCCTCAGCACAGCTCCATCTGCGAGTGTGCAAATGTGTTTTCAATTAAACAATAGCACTCAAGATGAAACATTGAGCCTAGGCCTTGAATAGGCTTTCAGGGAAAGGAGTCTGACTTAAACAGTCTGCTTTTTGTTCCTCCCCTTGCTAGTTGAGAAAACCCAGCTCAGCAGGGAATAGGGGTGGGAGCCTGGGGGGAGAGAAGCAGGAAGAAGAGTGTCAGTTCCTGCCACTGCACACCAAAAACCCCTGAGTAAATGCACATCAAAAACAGAACTAGCTGTAAGCTTACTTTTAAAGACCATGCTTATTTCTCTTTGCATTTGATTGAAGAATTACGTACAGATTTCAGTGCTGGAATAATACAGATTTTGAAGTTCATGCATTTATTTCTATGTCATGGGTGTGGCCCTGGGTAGAGAGGTTGAAGCAGAGCTTCATTTCTGATCAAACTCCTCTCAAAGACAGTTTTTGTGCAACTAGGTGGAAAGTTATCCAAAAAGAACTCCAGTGAATTGACAGCTATTTATAACTGATACACGAGGAGACAGCCAGAGAAAGGCAGTGGCTAAACAGAAATCCTCCCACTCCAAAAAAGAACAACCCAAAATTTGAAAACCCCCGCGGAGAGGCAGATCCCAGCAGGGACCTGCACAGGTTTAGATCCCCAGCAGCATCACAGACACTCCAAACCTCTCCAGTACTCCTAAGAAAATATTTTCAGTAGTGCAGCTGCCTTAATCCACCAGTTCTGATGTTATAGAGCTCAATAAAGTAAATTAAAATTTGGGAGCAGCATTTAAAGAAAGTCTGGAGAGGACACTGAGACTTAGACTCCGATATCCCTAAAAATCCTGTGCTGCACCTGAGCCTAAAAGAGGCTGAATCCCAAAATCCCAGACTGGGCTGGGCTGGGAGGGACCTCAGAGCTCATCTCATTCCAGCCCAGCCATGGCAGGGCCACCTCCCACTGTCCCAGGAGCTCCCAATGTCCAGCTGGCCTTGGGCACTGCCAGGGATCCAGGGGCAGCCCCAGCTGCACTGGCAATTCCATCCCAGCCCCTGCCCACCCTGCCAGGGAACAATTCCTGCCCAAGATCCCAAGATCCAGCCCTGCCCTCTGCCACTGGCAGCCATTCCCTGGCTCCTGGCCCTGCAGCCCTTGGCCCCAGTCCCTCTCCAGCTCTCCTGGAGCCCCTTCAGGCCCTGCAAGGGGCTCTGAGCTCTCCCTGCAGCTTCTCCTCTCCAGCTGAGCACCCCCAGCTCCACCAGGCTATCCCATAATGGTCTTACCAGTGGGTTCTACACCTGCAAACACTTTGATTTATAAGACACAAACCTTTCTATTAATAAGCACAGACAGACCCTCAGTGGGTTCTATCCCTGGCCAGGAAAATGCAGGAAGAGTAAAGTTCACCCTGTAGGAACCTCGACTCTCCAGGCACCATTTCCTGCTGGGACACATCAAATCTTTGCATCCCACATGGGAAAACATTCATTGCCCAGCAGTCAGAAACTCTGATGTGCACCAGTGTCATTGCTCTCATTGAACTCCAATCCACATCAGCAGCTGTAGCTTTTCATTCAACATCTGACCTTCTGTGAACTCCTTTACTCTACACCAACAGATTCATTATTGAAATTACCAGCACAAATATCAGTGTAGAGTTCTCTGCAGCCCCCAGCATTTCTCCAGTTTTACAGAGTGCAAAGTAAAAGCAGCTTTTGTCTGACAAACTCTTCCTGCAGAAATAGGGCACATTTCCATTTCTAGTTGCAGAAGTTGGTGTCAGGCTGCTGGATTTTACTGTGCTGCTCTAGAATAAGCAGCACCTGAACTACAGGGAGGGCCTGCCAGCAAACACCACCTAATTCCACTAATTTCTGCTCCTAATGAAATTTGGATAATGTGGTGCCCTTGCATTTGTTTCATTTGTGGTCTGGCCGGAACCAGGGCAGAGTAAATGGATTAAACACTGACTAAATATTATATTCTGTAGGCCAGGCCTGTGTTTGTACCTAATGACAAGAGCTGCAGTGGGCTCAGCACCACCCCTGGGTCAGGTGCTGACAAATCCTTCCCCATGGAGCTTTTCCTCCTCCTTTCTCTCATCTTTTGTGCAGAATGAAGAGCCAGCTTGATGACTTTTGCATTTATGAGGTGCAGAAACAGAACACAGGCAGCTTTCCCATCAAATCTGCTGTAATTAGCACACAAACCATCTCTCCATGAAAGCAGCCCTGAGTTAAAGCAAGGATCACCGTGCAGGTCCCAGGTGTGGAGTGATTCAGCTGCTGGATGCACAGCCCCAGATGGAACAGGCTCAGGCAGGAGCAGTGAGCAGCACTCAGGTCTCACACACGGATATGGATGCTAACTGTGAAGCAGTGCTTGTGGAAGAGCAGGTCACATAACTCTCTCAGTCTTGCCTGAGAAAGTGGCCTGGGAAATCATAAGGCCAGATGTCACTCTATTGGGAATGGTGAGAAGAACGACACAGACTCTCTTGTGGAGTCAAACTGAAGAATTTCTCCTACTTTATTGCTTCTGATTTTTTTTTATAGACTGATACATGAAAGTATAGAAAAGTAAAACTCTTTGTAAAATTGGTTAGTAAATTAACATTTATAAATATGTTATATATATATAAATTAACATATATTATATATATATAAATTATATATATATTAACATTTAATTAACATAATTAAAATTGGTTAGTAAATTAACACATCACCATCACTGGTCAGTGGGGTACACCACCCCTCAACCTTCTCTTGCAAGAAAACAAGGAATAGACAAACAGCACCTGCAAGGCTGTTCTCTATCTCTGAGGATTGTTTTAATTCCTCTTTATGTTTTCCCAAGCCACTTTCTCAGGCAAGACTGAGAAAGTTATGTGACCTGCTGTTCCACAGGCACTGTGCTCCCTGCTTCACAGTTAGCATCCATACACGGATGCTTGAGCAGGAAGCCACAGAATTACCCCCACTTTGCCCACAGAGTTGGGAAGGCTGGGAGGGAAGCAGATGTCAGGAACAGGGAAGTCACCCAGCGACTCTGTCCTGCTAAAATAAGGAATTCCAAGTCCTGGAGAACACCTGGCATTGATTAGCTCAGTTCTCCTTTCATTCCAAGGGGCCAGGCACACAGGAGATGCTCTTTGAGGCCCCATTCCTCAGGGCTCTAAAGAAAAGCAGATTATTCTACTTAAGCACAGTTATCTCCCAAGTCACTGCAGGCCCAGCTCAAAGCCCAATTAGAGGCTTCTTAATTGATCAGCAGCCTGGAGGGGCTGGTGAAGGGTAGAACAGCACAGAAGCTGTCCTGGCAGACCATAATACTCCACTCCTTTGCTCACTGAGGTCCCAGAGATTCTTTCCTTGAATGAGGAGTACAAGGGACACAGGAATTCTCAATGCTAATAAAAACCAGGGAGCTGCTGCTTGGAAGGACTCTGAATTCTGGGGAAGTTTTCTGGGCCCAGAAATGAGGGATTGATCAGATTTATTCCTTGTGTCCCTCCAGCTGGGAGGGATCCTTTAGGAAACACAGGCCAGGCTTTTCTCAATGATTACAATCAACTGTAGCTAAAATCAGTAGAATGATCAAGAATAGGAAAACACTTCCAAAACACCACACACAAACATCCAGACACTTCCTTATGGACTCCCCATCCCTGGCCAGGCTGGACACTGGGGCTGGAGCACCTGGGACAGTGGGAGGTGTCCCTGCCATGGCAGGGCTGCCACTGGAGGGGCTCTGAGGTCCTTCCCAACCCAACTTATCCTGGGATTTCTCATATCAGAGAATTAATTCCAGAGTTTTACAAATTGCTCCACCTCAGAATTACAACCTCCCTTCCCTGAAGACTCCTGTCCCTCCCCTTCTCTCCCAGTAACAATCAAATGCCACCTACAAAACCCCAACCCAGCTATTCCAGGAGCAAACACTGATGGAAGAGCCCTTTTCTGCAGCTCCCATCTCTCACACATTTTGAGCTCATTACTCCAGAACTCCCCCTCAAAAGTACTCAAGGATCTATATCTATATTAAATATTTACTCCTCTTAATTCAGAGATGATTGAAAAAAGAAGAGAGACACAGAGAAAGTCCATGAGCTGCTTTATGATTTCTAAAGGCAGCTTGAGTAAGTTTTAGTTCAGCTTCATTAACAAAAATGTGCAGGTCTTGTCTCTATGACAACTCCAGAGGGAGTGGAATGATTCCCTTCCTCTCAAGAGCCTGGAAAACTGAATAATTCAGAGGGGAAGAGATCCTTAGTCAGACTATTTACAACTGTTTGGTTCTGTTAACACCTATTTAAAGCCAATGCCTATGGAACATTTTTGGAAAAAGAATGTCTTGTTTAAGACAAAACTTCTTTCCTTGTTTAATTTAGAGGCAAGAGAAGTTCCAAAGGGACATCTGAACACTCACTGAAGCTTCAGCAAATCAATCAAAAAAAGACAATCAGACCAGCTTTGATATTTGTAAGATGAAGATAATTAGAAAAGAAAATAAGCTCTTTATTTAAAAGCCCTGTAGATCTGGGCATGCAGGTTTCCAAAGCAATAAGATAATTCTTCTCTTTCTCCTGTCAGAGCAAAATTCTGCCTTTAACAGCCCTTACTGCACCAGAAAGTTTTTGTAATGGCAATAAACTCCCTTCTCAAATGGTTCACAGAGGAAAAGGGAGTAGATTTCTCCAAAGTTCTCCATCCCTCTGCTGTTTTACCATTTTAGAATAAAAACCAGTTTTAATTCTGTCTAGCACCAAAATCTGTGTTGGTAGTAATATTATTAATGCAAACCATGAATAATCAGAGAATCACGGAATGGTTTGGGTTGGGAGGGATCTCAGAGCCCACCCATTCCCAGCCCTGCCATGGCAGGGACACCTCCCACTGTCCCAGCTGCTCCCAATGTCCAGCCTGGCCTTGGGCACTGCCAGGGATCCAGGGGCAGCCCCAGCTGCTCTGGCAATTCCATCCCAGCCCCTGCCCACCCTGCCAGGGAACAATTCCTGCCCAAGATCCCAAGATCCAGCCCTGCCCTCTGCCCCTGGCAGCCATTCCCTGGCTCCTGGCACTCCACACACAGGTCCAGGTCTGGCAGGGTCAAAGAATTAGGAGCAGAAACACCTTAATTCCTCAGGAAAATCTGGCAGTGTAGGAATGTCTGTGCTGTGTAAAAGGCACCAGATTTGGATCTGGCTCAACTCACCATGGAGCAACAAAAATTTCCAGTTTCAAGCTCCAACTCCAATGGAAATAGTCTATGTCAATCTTCATTTTTGTAACAAATATTCCAGGTCTTGCTCATTAGAGCTCAGGCTCTCCCATTAGCAGATTTATAACTAATTACTGTGCTTAGCAATTGTGTTAGTGCAGTTTTAACAGAGCTGAAAGCATTTAGCAATTTGAGATGAGGGTTTCAAACTGTCATTTGCTGGGACACTCAGGGCCTCCTGCCCACCTGGGACACCTGGGGCATTTCCCAGCCCCTGTGCCCCAAGGCTGGACTGTTCCATGGGGGTGTGGTGACCCCAGGGCAGGAGCCAGCACTTGTCCCTCACCCCAGTGAGGCCAGGCCAGGGCTCCAGGCTGCCCAGCTGCCCCTGCAGTGCCCTGGGGCACAGGCTCAGCCAGCCCAGCACTGCCAGCAGTGTGTGTGCATCTCCCACCCACCCCCCAGCTGGGCTGGCCCCAGCCCCACCCCACACTCACCATATCTGTGCTAGCACTGGCTGAGGTAACCCAGATTGGAAAAAAAAGTTCCTGGCTTGATCACCTGTAAAATAAACAGGACAGGCTTCAGCTCCAGCTCCAAACAGCTGGCAGAAGGAATGGGGAATCAGGAGGTAAAAATACCTGCAACAGAAGCCCAACCCATTCCATGAGGGATGATCATTTACAAAGCACTAAGAAAATTCAGTGTAAGAGAACAGAGTAACAGGAATCCTATTGCCTTTGAGACCAAATTTTGATGAAAATTTATTAGGATCAGTGCAAGTTCCTTGATTTGGAGCTTTGCTTCCCACTGCTTCAATCAGTTCTGCATTTAGATCTTTCCAAGAGGTCAACCATGCTGATGTCAGTGCTGTACAAACTGAATTTCTAAACCTGATTTCAGTTCAATTGACACACCTTGATTAAATCAGACCTTTTATTCATCACAATATTAGTGTGGTGGGCTGGCCCCAGGCACAAAGAACCCATCACTCCCTTCCACAGCAGGATAGGGAAGAGAAAACATCAGAAAATAACAGAAAAGTTGGGGCTGATGTGGCAAAACATTTGAACAATGGAATATAAAATAAGAAACACCTGTTTGAATTTTCTAATTATTATGACCATATGTCTGGCAGGCAGCTCTGCACACATTTAGGCTCACTAGTTAAGATTTAACTAAACAAAATTAGAAGTGGGAACTGTTTGTTTACCAGTGATAAATCCAGCAGTTGGTTTCAGACTATGGAACTGTTGATCATGCTTCGCTCTCTCCTCCACAGTAATAGCCCAGATATCCAGGTTGCCTGGTTCAAAAGAAAGGGAGAAATGACATTAACACTACCTAAAAAACACCCTCTTTTCTTTCTGACTGTAATAATCTCACAGCATTCTGGGCCTCTGCAAACAACACAAGGGTGGAAGGTCATTTGCCCCCCAGAGCACACCCAGCTGGAATTCCAGCTCCTTTTTACCTGCAAATCTTCCTGCCCACTATCCCATCTGACCCTGCCCACAGAAATGTCCTGATGCAACCTTTAAGTACAACCAGAGCAGTTTCTCTGTCTCAGCACTGAGATTTCTTTTTGTAATCCTTCTGCAGATCAGCTGCAAAACTCAATTCCCAGATGGATCCCCAGGATCTGCAGGGCCCTACAAGGAAGAGGGACTGTTCATCAGGAACTGACAGGACAAGCAGGGCTGGGTTCAGACTCAAAGAGGGGAAATCTGGGGGAGTTATTCAGAAGGAATTGTTCCCTGGCAGGGTGGGCAGGCCCTGGGCTGCCCAGAGCAGCTGGGGCTGCTCCTGGATCCCTGGAAGTGTCCAAGGACATTGGGGCTTGGAGCAGCCTGGGACAGTGGAAGGATGGCAGGGGTGGGATGGAATGAGCATCCCAATCCAAACCAGTCTGGGATTCTGTGGGATTATGTGATTTCATGTGAACAGCAAAAATCCTGTCCCTACTGCAGTGCCAGCGCCCATCCTGGATTTTTCACTGCATCTCCAGATGCTGCAACTTCTCCTGCTGTAAATGAAGGGTTAAAAAATGTGTTCCCTTTACTCTAACCTAAATGTGGGTGACAGGACAACAAGGGAAAAACTGGAAGTGGTACCACCCAAAGGCATCTGCTGGACCTTTGAGCAACTAGTAAGTCCAGGAACCATGAAAGGAAAAAGCATCTGCATTTCTCCAGTCCACCTGGAGCAGGATGAGGTGGTGCCCCACTGCTTGAGTGGCCTGGATGTGCCCTGCAGGGACAGAGTGGGGCTGGATGGGATCAGTACAGAACACAGGGCTCTGTGCTGTTGGCTGGGAGGTGTCTGCAAAGCCATCACAAACACTTCCCTAGGGAAAACTCTCTGAAAGGAATGTGTTTACACCAAGATTTTGCACAAGGAGCAGTTCAGAACACACCAGAAACCACTTACCCCCAAAAGGTGTTGGAAACTGAGCCATGGTTCTGTCACTTTTAGCTTGTTAATAGATGCCTGGAAAAAAAAAAATAGATAGTCAACATAGTATGTTCCATTTTCCACATATTTTCTGTATGATTAAATACTACAGGGAAAAAAAAAGGCACTGAAGAAGCAGGATTGTATCAATACTTCCCACACCAACTGGGACTTCCAAAACTCAGTGTCTCATTTTTGTACCTCCCTGTGCATCTATGAGGGCATCTTCCTACCAGCAAACTGCTACGTTTCAATTCTGCTTTAAGAACAGCCTCAAAGCCAGCCTTTATTTATAAAAAAGTATTTCTTTATAAATAGCCAGAGATGGAGTGAGGGCAGAGCTCAGATCCCAGGGATGCTGCTCCATGACTTTCCTGAGTGTCACAATCCCTGCTCCTGCTTAGGAGGGAAATTGGCTCCATTTCTAACTGTTGAAACCCAACATCAGTGATCTGGTTTTTATTCCTGACACAAAATGCCCTTGCTCAGGGTGCCTTTGTTTTAAACCACACACAAGATAAAGATGGAGCTTCATGTCCAGGCTGCTTTGGCCGCAGGTTTGAGGAGCACCAAGGTTCTGTGGGAGTGGGGGGAGCCCCCAGGAGAGCACCTCTGGCTCTGCAAACAAAGCAGCCACACAGGCTCCAAATTTCATCTGGACACAGAAAAGGAAAAACATTTTTCTTGCTGCACACAAAGGCTGACATGAGCTGCCTGAGCCAAGGGACAATGAGCAGCACCGGAGCCGCACAACAATGAGCAAGGGCCTCTTGTCCTGCCAGATTCCACTCGTGTCTTCCAGGCAACAGCAGAAAGGCAAAGGGGAACAGAATTGGGAGAATAATTTAGGCTGCTTGAACAGCAGCAGAAATTTATCAATATCCCTAAGAAAAGGCATTCACTTGCACCAACAATTTCCTTTTGTCTGAATTCCTGTTTGCTCCCCTCCCCATCCCCCTTTCACACTTCCCACATTCTCTGCTGGCTTCCAACTTGGGAACCTCCTCTGTATCCCCTCCCCAGATGTCCCTGCACAAACCCCTGGCGTTTTTGCCAGCCAGGCTCCCCAGCAGTTGGAATTTAGGGAATGATGGACACAATCCTGACTCCTTTTCCTCATGATTTGGCCAAGGACACGACTCCAAAGCCCTGTGCCCAAGGCCAGGGAAGGCAGCTGATGCTGCTCCGTGCACACACAATCCTGGAACATCACATTACCCCAAAAAGTTTCAAATTCCAGGTGCAGAGATCCAAGTGCTCAGACTGAGCTCCCTGTGCTCCCAAAAGCATTCCTGAAGAGCTGAAAGATCAGCACTTTTATCTTTGCCTGTGTTTTCTTATTGCACTCCGCTGCGCGAAAGAGCTCAGAGATGCTGCTGGGTTTTATGACTGCAAGGAAACCCTGAGGAAAAAATAAAAGGAAAAAAAAAAGAGGAGGGGAGGAAAAAGGAGGAGGGAAAAAAGGAGGAAAAAGTAAAAAAACCAAAAAACCCCAACCAAACAAAAACTAAAACAAAACCAAACTTTAAAATAAATAAAATAAAGAAGAAAGCCCCAAAGCAGAAGTCCCCCTCTCACAGCCCGGGCAGTTTCCATATTATCTGTTCCTTTTAGCACAAGGGGAAGCAGCAGAGCATTTCCAGAGCTGAGACCTTCAGGGAAGAGCCTCCTCCACAGACTGCCAGGATTCCAAAGGAACTGACTCCCCTTTGCCTTGAACACAGGAGGAAAAGGAGAGGGAGTGGGAACTCTGAACACCAGCCCCATGCCGGATGCCAAGGAAAGCAGAAACTATTCCAAAGAACTTCCAGAGGAAAAAAAAAAGAAAATAAGAGAGAAAAACACAAAGCCAGATGAAATCACGATGGAGGAATAAAGTGAAGGAGCAAAGAACTGTGCTTAAATGTGAGAGGCTGAAACCCAAACAAGAGACAACTGCGGACAGGGAAGACAGGGAAGCAAACTGAGGGAAAGACAAATCTCTCCCTTGCAGGAACATGCTGGAGTTTACTGTTTATTGCTGATGGATCCCCCCAAGTTCCATAACCACAGGTTTCATTGTGCATGACTGAGGTGACACCAGGGGCCCCAATTCTCTCTCCCAAAGCCTGGACCAATGGATTTCTGGGGTCCATCCTGACCCAAGTTGCTCTGTGATTCTGTTTTTGGGGTTGAAGAGCTCAGGGATGGAGAACAGAACAGTTATTATTTATCCCCAAAAACATCTGGCACAGCTATATTATAAAATATCATATATATGTGAAGTATTGTGAAGCAAAGAAATCAGGCCAGGATCCTGGTGCTGGAAAAGCCCTCCTGCCAAGGCCTGAGCTCCCTTTCCATGGGCAAATTCCTGCTGCTGCCCACCCTGAGCCTCCCCTGGCCCAGCCTGAGGCCTGAGCTCTCCTCCTGTCAGGTCTGTGGGGCACTGGAGCACGTTGGTGCTCCCAGGCCAGGGAGAGCAGTGCCAGATCAATGACATTCCAGGAGATCAATAATTTGAAATGCCCACAGGACCATTCCACAGCTGCTCCCTGGGATTGCCCCTGCTCAGGGCTGTTGGCCTGTGCTGATCTGGGCAGGCAGAAAGGCCCCTGGCTCTGAGAGCTGTTCCAGTTGCACTGAACATCTCCTGGATTCCAGGGCTTGACCTCTGGGTCACCTGGCAGGGGGAAAGCCCAAAAAGTCTGGGAAATCACAGAATCATGGAATGGTTTGGGTTGGGAAGGACCTTAAAGCCCATCCAGTTCCACCCCTGCCACAGCAGGGACACCTCCCACTAGAGCAAACTCCACAAGCTCCCCTTCCATGGATTCCCACAGAGCTCAGAGCACAAGGAGTCTTTCCCCACGCCTGACCTGGGGATGATGAGATTCCTCCTGGCACAGGAATGGAAAATGTACAACAAACACCAGGAACAGGGCATTCCAACAGCACCAGTTTTACATTAGGTACAACTTAGGAACTTCTATCACCTACACAATTATCTTTATAGGCACTAATGAGAAACATTTGCTTACCCCCAGCTCTGAGAGAGGGAGACAGGCCCTGCCCAGCCAGCTCAGCTCTCAGGGCTCTCTTCCACCTTCCACTGCTGTAGCTAAGCTCAAACTTAAATTCTTGATCCTGACTCCAAATTATTTCTTCTCATAAACCAATGCTCTATACACAAGCAGTGTTTATATACATATAAAATAAATATGACCTAACTGTAACCCTAAAAATTGTTCATATAAAAGTAAAACTGAACCACATAGAAACCAACTCCATATATATAAAATCTCAGCTCATATCTAAATTTAAATACTGATGTTTAAAGATTTTACCTCGAAAAACTGAGCAGGTTGAAAATAACTCCAGTAAAAACATTTATTCAGAGGAGTCAGACGTGTATGAAAATTCCTTTCACAGTGTATTATACATGGACTTAAAAAACACAGCTCAAAACTTTATCAGAGTTTCTATTTAAAGTTAGCTGTGCTCTGCTGAGGCCATGTTTACAGAGAAAACTGCAATAAAGCCACAGGAGGTATAAATCAAGAATAATTGAGCTATTTCAGCCCTGTATGCCTTTACACAAACATGTTTCACACAAAAAATATCCTATTTTTGTTTTCCCTAAAATGCAACACAGCATTTCTATTCCTAAACAATTCCTTATGAGATAATTCTTGATCTGAATGCCAAAATTAATTCCTGAGGCCACTTATCAGTCACCTTCCTCCTCCTACAGGAAAAAAAAAGGGACAAACCTAACCAGATAAAGTCCTCATATCCTCCAAGAATTCCAAATGACAACAAAATCCCCCCAAGCAGGACATCACATGAGTGTCCCAGGCTGACAGCAGGGTTTGGAGTTTGCAGATGTTCCATGGGAAAGCCTCTAAACCAGGATCAGTCAAGGGACTCAAAGTTTTAGCAAAGCCTGGTAATTTTGGAACAATATTTCAAAACAAAAGTATTTTGAAACATTCAGGGAATTCTGATCCTTGCTCTTTGGAGATCAGATTTTAACTCAGTCACCACTTCGTAAAATTTTCCAGGGTTTCTGTTCCTTATAGGAACAACTGGGAAAATAAAAACCTTCACAAATGTCAAGTCCTGCCATTTCTTCTATTTTGTACCAAGCACCCAGAAGAGATTAGCAAAGCACCTCCCCACTGCAGACATTTTTCAACACCTGTGGCAATGATCAAACTGCTGAGAAGTCACTTCTGTATTCCAGAATCATGGAATGGGCTGGGAGGGACATTAAAGATCATCTGCCTGACAGGAGGGGACAGCCAAGGGGGAACAGGAACAGGAGGAGAGCTCAGGCCTCAGGCTGGGCCAGGGGAGGCTCAGGGTGGGCAGCAGCAGGAATTTGCCCATGGAAAGGGAGCTCAGGCCTTGGCAGGGGCTGCCCAGGGAGCTTTGCAGTGCCCATCCCTGCAGGTGCCCAAGGAAGGGCTGGACGTGGCACTCAGGGCTCTGGGCTGGGGACAAGGTGGGCATCGGGCACAGCTGGGACTCCCTGGGCTGCCAGGGCTTTTCCAGCACCCGGGATCTCTCACACATAACTCACCCCAGTAACTCCAGTTCAAACTGAACTGTGACTGGATTACAGCACCCTTTTCAAGAGGTGATTGACTCTCATTTTAACACAATGAAAAGCCAGTGCATCACTCAACTGTTTCTAAACCTCTTAATAAGAAATAAGTACCTTATTTTATTTTCAGTTTAATAGTTGGTGGCTTCATTCAGAACCACCAGACCTTGTAAAGCAGGAATTCCAGGAGTTTCTTAGTGCTACAATTTGTTCACTTTTTTCAGTTGCCTTTACTCACACAGGTGCAGCAGCAACCTGTTTGCTCATTTTGTTTGTTTTGGGGGAGTGTGTTAAAAATCCTCATTAACACAATGGCAGTGGGTAATCTCTGACTTCTCCTCCTTCAAAACAACCCAAAAATCTGAAAGACAAGAATTAGGTAGTTTGGAATACTTGCACACCCACAATAATCCTTAACAGCAGCCTGACACTAATCTCAAGAATGATCTGGAAAGCAGGACAAGGAAATGCAGGATACCCCTGTGGGATGTGAGTGTTGTGTGCCCTTGGATTTCCAGCTCTGGTGTGTTTGACAGACCTGGAGCTCCTTGAGCACATCCAGCAGAGCTGAGGAAGGGCCTGGAGCATCTCTGTGCCCAGAAGAACCTGAGGGAGCTGGGGCTGCTCAGCCTGGAGAGGAGCCCCAGCTGAGAGGGGCCTCAGACCTGGCTGTCCCTGTCCGTCCCTGTCCATCCCTGTCTGTCCCTGGGTGCAGGAGGGGCAGAGCAGGCCCAGGCTCTGCTCCAGGCCCAGCAATGGCACCAGAGCCACGTGCAGGGGCTGAGCCCAGCAATTCCCCCTGCACAGGAGCACAACTTGTGCCCTGGGCAGTGCCCAGAGAGGGGCTGGAGTCTCCTCCTGGGGATATTCCAGAGGCACCTGGACACAGCCCTGTGCCCTGAGCTCTGGGATGGCCCTGCTGGAGCAGGGAGCTGGCACCAGGTGACCACTGTGGTCCTTCCCAGCCCCATGGAGTCACCACTCCATGAATACCAAGAGAAGCAGGTACAGCAGGTGGGTTCTGCTATTTCCATCCCATAAACTGAAGACAGTTGTACTTTATTTCCAAGCTGTTCCTCCAGCTGTGTCCATGGCTCTAGGATCCCTAAGCAATGGCACTCAGGAGAGACTCCAGGAACAAAAGGGAAGCGTGGCCAAAGCCTGGAGTCCAGCTTTGGTTGAGTCTGAGTGCTCTGGAGACCCTCAGTGCCAGTTTTATCCTAATCTTATGGGAGTACAATATTCTAAGAGGAGTCTGACAGTCACACCACACCTTTAACCTGGCCACCCTTAACTCTTCAGCTCCCAGAGAGCAGAGCTGCTTTGAAAGCCCAGTGCAGCCCTGGATTACTTCTGTGGGCATTTTCCCTTTACCACATTTCTCTGCAGTCCTCACCACAACCAACCTTGTTCCTTCTGTCACTGCCTCTGCAAGAACCAGCCCAAATGGGTTAGAGAATAAATTACCATGTGGCTTTTTGCAGATTATTCCTTTCCTTATTCCTCCATCAACTCACACACTAATTTCACCCACCTAGGGCCACCTCATGTAGCGAGGGGGACACTGCTCAGCACATCCAAGTCAGGAAGATCATGGAAATATTCCATGAAGTGGCTGATAAACTTCTTCCCTCCCTTTCCTACAGATGCCCATGACCCAACTCTACAGGAACTCCCATGTTTTGATCCAGCTCAATGTTTTTAAAGGAATTAGGGCAGCTAAAGGAATAGGTCAGAGCTGTAAAGTCTGGCTGGGACAGCAGTGGTGCCTACCAGCCCAAAATTTAATTCTTGCAGGCCTGATCTAATCCCACATAGCTATGCTGTGAAAATCCACGTGCTTGTTTCAACTTTAGAGCTGATCCTTTGAAATGGGGACAACGAAAAAGAAGAAGAAAATCTGCTACACTTGAGTTTCACTTCACCTTCTCCATCTCTGCCACTAAGTACAGCTCTGCTGGGGGAAGGGCAGGAAGGAAGAAAAAGCCCTGAATCAGCACAAGTGTTGAGTCAGGGAGTTCAGGATGTGCACATCCATTCCCTTTCCCCTCCTGCGAGGCAAATGCAGCAGATAAAAGGTCTGGTAGGGCAGGGAGAGGCTCCAACTGGTGATGAAAGCGAAGGCTCTGTCCCCTGAAGGAGTCATGGAGGTCACTCTGTCCCCTGCTAGCAGCTGCTCTCCTGAACTCTCCCAGTTACATAAGTGCCAGGCTCTGCTGGTGCTGATTTGGGAAGCAGATTTTCAAACCAGTCATTTAATAGGAGAATTATTCAGCATCTACCAAGCCTTATCAGCATCTCAGTAGCTGTGTCAGCCCACAGCACCACTGCCTGAGGCTGCTCCTATCTCCCACCCAAGGACATTTTGCTCTGAATTTCTTCCAAGCTTTGTCTTCTCAACTTCTGCAGGACACGAGGAGCTCTTCAGATGCACAAGCAGACTTGAATTGTGGCATTTAGGCCAGGCTTTCTGTCATTCACCTTCTTTCTGGTCACACTTAGCCCTGCTGCTCCAACACCCGTTGAGCACAGGTGGCTGGGAAGAAAAAGTGTCCAGCAGAAAAGAAACAGCAGATTTATAGGGAAGAAATGCAAATGCTGGAGGAACAGACATTGAAACTTCAGGGCTGTTTCTCACAGGACAGGCCCTTGGGCATTTGTAAAATCAAGGGATTTCCTTACACAGCAAAGGGGGCTGAGCAGGCACCACAGGGAGGGTCAGGGACTCTCTCCCTTTGTCAAGCATGCAGAGGCTGCATAAAGCCTAAACAAGGAATTAAACATCAAGTTCCACTGCTAGAGCTCCTGCCTCCTATTTAAAATATCCTTAAGCACACTCTAAGGAAATGAAGCAAAAAAGACTTCACTGCATGAGACAGGGAATATCCCAAAGCAAGAGTTTCCTGGGTGTTTTCCTGAAATGAGAACAATTCCCTTCAAAATGCCTAGAACCAGTTTTCACACAAGAGCAAAACCATTCCAGGTGTGACCACAAAACCAGGCAAGTGATACATGCAATGGGATAAGGGAAAGAGCAAACAGCTTGCAAGATAAAATGCAAACTGTAGATACATATATAACATATGTAAATATACACATACATTTTAAAAGGTATAATCTAACTTAAAAATCCTATTTCTGTATTACATAAATTATTAACTGACTGCAACTATATTCAAATGACAAAAAAAAATTGTGTAAGGGCACATGCCAAGCTTTCTTTCCAGATGACAACTGTGTTTTCCCATCAACTTCACATAAACCAGATTCCTGCAACTGGAAAAATTTCAACCCTTGGCTGGGGTAAAGGAATCAATGAATGTTTTGGGGTGGGAGGGATCCTAAAGCTCATCCCATTGCACCTGGGCACAGGCACCTCCCCAATTGTCCCAGGTGCTCCCAGCCCCAATGTCCAGCCTGGCCTTGGGCACTGCCAGGGATCCAGGGGCAGCCCCAGCTGCTCTGGGCACCCTGTGCCAGCCCCTGCCCACCCTCACACAAAGATTTCTCCCCAGAATCTCATCCAACCCTGCTCTCTTCTAATGCTGAGATACAAGGTCAGGGATAATCCTGGATTCATTACCAGTGGTAATGACAAGTTCAGACACAGCAAATAAATGAGCAGAAAAGACACAAAACCAGGGAAGACTTTCCATGTATTTACTTCACTAGACTTGAGGGGCGAGGATTTATGGAACGAGATTTCCCCAAAGCAAACAGAATGAGGTTCAGGTTTGTCTCTACACAAAGCTACAGGTCAAGGCAAGAGTTTGAACAGCCAGATTTCAGCTCCAGCTCTGCCCCACAGCAGCATCACTGAACCCCTGAGGGAGCAACAGGACCACTCCAAGTGACCCCAAGTTCCAGCTACTCCACATTTCTGCCAAGGGCTGGGAATCATTTCAGGCCATGCAGGAGAGAATAAGGATATGCACACAAAGCCAAGAACTCCAAGGAAGAATCTAGATATGGAAGACAAGGTTTTGTTTTTTTGTTAAGATCCATGTATCAAACAGGAAGAGATGCTCAACCTCTCTGCAGAATTACATGGAGCTGCTCTGAAGGATGCAGGTTGTAGGGGAGGCACCACATGCACAGGCATTTTCCATGCTGCCTCTAGAAAACTTTGTTATGGTCCTTCTTTAAATGACTCAGGAAGTCTGGACAGTTAATAACATTGCAAAGAGTAATTTTCCTGTCCTGAAATGCTTTAATATGTCTTTCCAGGATAAAAATTCCTTTCCTGCAAGAGGATAAGAACATTAAGGCTGTTGTTAGTGCTAATGGTTTATTTACTGTAAGTCACAAATCTGTGGCATGGGAAGGCTTATTTACTGTAGCTCACGAATTTCTCCCCTGTGGGTACTTCAAAAGTCAACTGGTTTGCAATTCCCTGTAATCAGGAAAATTTGCTACAAGGCTGTGGGGCAGCCTTGGACTGGGAAAAAAATCCAGTTGCAAAATTGTAACATGATGCTGATTTCCCAACATAATAGATGTAAAAAATCTTTCAAGTTTGATTCAAGAAGAAAGCCAAGGCAGCTGTGAAAACAAACCTCCTCCTTAAAACCCTCACATTTGCAAGTTTTTAACATGCTGATTGATAATCAGTGCCCAAGTACACCCACAAATTGCTCTCCTGGGAAGTCACAGCCTGATCCTCGCTCAGTGTGGCTGTGTGCTGGCAGCAGGCTGGTTCCTACAGAGCCACCCTGAACTCTGCATCTTCAAGAGAGAATCCCAGGATCCTGGTGCTGGAAAAGCCCTCGCAGCCCAGGGAGTCCCAGCTGTGCCCGATGCCCACCTTGTCCCCAGCCCAGAGCCCTGAGTGCCACGTCCAGCCCTTCCTTGGGCACCTGCAGGGATGGGCACTGCAAAGCTCCCTGGGCAGCCCCTGCCAAGGCCTGAGCTCCCTTTCCATGGGCAAATTCCTGCTGCTGTCCACCCTGAGCCTCCCCTGGCCCAGCCTGAGGCCTGAGCTCTCCTCCTGTCCCTGTTCCCTGGCAGCAGAGCCCGACCCCCCCGGCTGTCCCCTCCTGCCAGGGACTTGTGCAGAGCCACAAGGGCCCCCTGAGCCTCCTTTGCTCCAGGCTCAGCCCCTTTCCCAGCTCCCTCAGCCCTTCCTGGGGCTCCAGACCCTTCCCAGCTCCGTTCCCTGCCCTGGACACGCCCCAGCCCCTCCAGGGCTCTCCTAGAGGAGCCACAACTGGACCCAGCTCTCAAGGGGCCTCTCAGAGCCAGCACAGAGGGACAATCCCTGCCCTGCTCCTGCTGGACACACTGAGGCTGATCCAAGCCAGGATGTTTCCTCAGCAAAGGCAAGGAGAGAAAAAAGGTAAGTGAAGAAACATGGTAAGGAGAAGTCAGGGAGAGGAGGGCCAAGGAATGACGAAGAGCAGGAAGGGCAGGAGAGAGCAACTCCGTGGTATAAACACAACTCATCCCTTTCCCCCTTCCAACTCCCACAGCTCTTACAGCCCTCCAGCCAAACCTCCCAAAGACTGAGCTTTCCAAGGCTCACACCTCTGGGCAGAGATGAAACCTGCTCAGGAGATGGTGCTACACCCACCACAGAGCAATGATCTGAAGACAGAAATTTCCTTTAGGGTCTGACTTGCCTTAACAGCAGCTTTGAGAGAACCTTTTCCTGATCTCGAGCCCAGACCTCCCTGAGACAGCTCGAGCTGCTCCCTCAGGTCCTGTCCCTGCTCACAGGGAGTAGAGATCAGTGCCTGACAATGACAGATATGAAATTTTGTACAATTTATAGCACAGGAGGAACAAGTTGCACAATTCACACCTCATACTTGTGGATTAAACCCAACAATCCCAATTCATCCAGGTGATATCAGAAACTGCTGTTACTTTGAAGGTGCTGTCACCCCTGACTGTGGATCAGGATTCCTTTATTTCTCCATCTGGCTTGTTAAAAATAGGGATAATTTGCCTTGGCAGCAGTCTTGTGACTCCAACAGGAGATGGCTCGAGGGCCACTTGCTGCAGCAGCAAACCCAGTCCCCAGCAGGGTGTGGGGCCAGCTGGGGAGGCAGCGTGAGGAGCAGAGGCTCTCCCAGCTGGCACTGCAGTCAGCTCAGCTCCACTCCAGCACAGCATTCTCTGCGAGCTGGCAACTGCCAACATCTCCAAAATCAACTCTGCTTGCTAAAAATACATTTCTGGTTATTTACCTTCAAAGCTGAGACCTCAAAATGAAAACTGGCATTCTAATGATGAATCCACAGCTTCATCAATCATTACCTTCTGAAACAACAAGCAAGAATTTATGGCAGTCACTTGGCTGCAGAAGTGTAACCTAAAAATATTTTACAGGAAAAATTAAGTTGTCAATATTTCAAGTATTCAAAATCACCCTATACCAAAGCACTTACAATCAAACCTTCATTGGTCAAAAAACCCTTCCTCAAAATCAGCAGTGAAGTTGTCAAATCTCCTGAAAAATACCACAGGAAATTACTGGTGCTTGAAGTGAAGAGAAAACCCAAAATGAACTTGCTGAGGTGAAGAGTTGGCTACTTGCAGAGGAAGGAATCTGAACTTTTGCCACAAAATGAACTTGTCCACCTTTGGGGAAAGAAAAGGGTAGTAACACTCAACCACTATTGACACCACGAAAATGAATACATAGAACCAGAGAATGGTTTGGACAGGACCTAAAACTCCCAGACCCAATGTCCAGCCTGGCCTTGGGCACTGCCAGGGATCCAGGGGCAGCCCCAGCTGCTCTGGCAATTCCATCCCAGCCCCTGCCCACCCTGCCAGGGAACAATTCCTGCCCAAGATCCCAAGATCCAGCCCTGCCCTCTGCCCCTGGCAGCCATTCCCTGGCTCCTGGCCCTGTGCAGCCCTTGGCAATTGTCTCTCTCCAGCTTTCCTGGGGCTCCTTCAGGCCCTGCAAGGCCACCCTGAGCTCAGCCCAAAGCTTCTCCTGGCCAGGCTGAACAATGGTAGCTGGGCCAGCCTTTCCTGCCAGTAGAGCTGCTCCATCCCTCTGCTCATCCTGGAGCCTCCTCTGGGCTCTCTCCAGCAGCTCCAGCTGCTCCCTGAGCTGGGCCCCAGGGCTGGGGCAGCTCTGCAGGTGGGGTCTCACCTCAGGGGGCTCAGGCACAATCCCAATCCCTTTCCTGCTGCCCACGCTGGGGCAGGCCCAGCTCTCCCAGGGCTGCTCCATCTGCTCATCCCAGCCTGGATTGATCCCGGGGGTTGCCCCAACCCGAGTGCAGCACTTTGTACTTTCCTAATGTAGAACCAACAGAGGCACTGAAGGTGCCAAGGATGATCTGCAGCATTTTCCAGGTGATATGTTCAGTTCCCAAGCTGTGACCAGTCAGATCAGGCCCTATGGAGTACTTATTACATCAAATCCACTTTGCTTTCTCACAGAAATGAATAATTAAGTACCTGTAGAGATAAAACTACATGAACATGCCTCAGCTCTCATCTGATTAAATGCTGCTGCTGACAGTTTGAGAAGCCAAGCACTCAGCACTCAAAATGTTCAGCTGGATTGGCGCAACTTTCAAGAAGGAAACCCCAAATTACACAAGAAAATAAAAGCCACTTCCTATGTTTAAAGGAGAAAACAGCAGCAGCAAATAATCCTCAATTAAGTCCCCCAGCAAGAGATGCCCTTACACTCTGCGTTGAAGAGGCCATTTACTCACACACTTCCCTTTTTATTTGTACTCTCCAGCAAACATTATCCATGACAACTTTCAAGCTACAGGAGCTCTATATGGCAACAGCTCATGGCTTCCAACCCTGCTGAAGAATCTTACTAATTATTTAAACTCTTAGGATTGAAATGAGGACAAATGAAGGAATAACACAACTATCAGGGCTTATGTTTGTCCATGGCTCTTTTAATCATTGCTTGGACAGCTGAGAATTGGAATGCTTGAAGAGTAGGAATAAAGGGAAAAATAAACCCCAAGCAGCACCTCCTGTTCCTTCAAGACATGAACAAAAGAATTTTGAATTGGGCCCAGCAGAAAAATCAACATCTTCCAATCCTGAGATCATTCCCTCAGCCTTCTGAAAGGTTCCTGTTTATGAGTCCCAAATGAGGGCTTGCAGGGGCCTCCCAAAGCCTGGCTGCCAGCAGCCAGGACGGTGTCAGAGCACTGTTAAAATCCTCCAGGAACTGGAGGTACCAACTGGCAGAATCAGGTGGGAATGAGGCAAAGAAACTGGGGAGGAAATGCAACACCTTGGGACAATGCACACTAGAATCTGTCAGGGAACACTGGGGACACACCTAACAACCACCATGGAAAAGGGAAGCAAAACTTCCTGAAACACAGACTGGCACGGCAGAGCTGAAGCCAGAAATCCCAGAATCCCTGATGGATTGGGTTGGGAAGGACCTTAAAGCTCATCCCATCCCACCTCTGCCATGGCAGGGACACCTCCCACTGTCCCAGCTGCTCCCAATGTCCAGCCTGGCCTTGGGCACTGCCAGGGATCCAGGGGCAGCCCCAGCTGCTCTGGACACCCTGGGCCAGTAGCCCAAATCAGGCTACACAGAGGACTAAGTTTTGTGTTTTGCTCACCTACTGCAAAATTTGGTGAATCTTCTGTGAGTCTTTCTTTGAAATTCATTTCACTGCTGACAGTTCAGGAAGCTGTCAGACCACTTCTAAATAAAACATGCAGAATATTAAGACACATCCAAACACACCTGCCTGAACAGGCAAATACCACTTGTGGCTTCCCCCAAACCCTGGAGAGAACATTCCTAATAAATCCTGCAGGGATACAGGATGAAGGGCATGAAGCATCCTGCCCACGCTGTTTCAGGCTGGTTTCCCCAAATACTAAAAAAGTTTTCATTAGATAGGTAAAAGCTTTAGGTTTGATATTCCAGGGGGCTGCACATGGGAATTCAGTGGAGCCCTGGAAAATATTCTGTGTGCAGAAGAATCGATCTGCTTTGGAGAAGAGCAGTTGCTGAGTATCAAGACCCAGTAACACACAGAAATCATGTGTGAATTAAGCATTAGGGAAAAAAAAAAAAACCCACACAAAAAAATACCAACAAAAAGCCTGAGGGGGAATCATAGATGTTTCAAACAGGATCTCAGAGTTGCAAGTGAGATTTAATTTGGTTTCAATGCTAAGTTCAGTGTTTGAGACCCATAACAAACTCAGACAAACCTCATTTTTTAAATGCTTCTCCCTAGACTGGACAGACTGAAAAGATACACAGATCTAAGGGAAAAAAAAAAATGAGCCATAACATTAAAATGTAACAGCCTGGCCAAAAATATGAGTAACCAGATCCACAGTGCCAGAGGTCAGAGATCCACCAGCACTGCTCCTGCCAGCTATTGAAAACCAGGAATAAAGGAGCCCTGCAAGGAGGCACTAAGCCAGCACCATCCCCAGGGACAAAGAACTTCACACATTTTTTCAGCTACCTTGCCAATAACTTCTCCACTGTATCCAACACTAACCACTGAATCAGGAAGGAATATAATGATTCTATAGCAACCAGCTGTGGAGATATTTTTCAAACGGAACAAACTGGATACAAACGCCAAATACTCTCCCAACAAATTTAGTCTATTCCTAGTGGGAGGAGAAAACTCTGTTCACTGCTGTGATCCAAAACACAGTGTAAATCTCAGGTCTGCACAGAACTCAGGCAGTTTAAAATAAATCTGATAACCAGGAGCAGATAAACAGACAACCAGGTGTGCACCTTTTCTTACTCTGCCAGAACATCACTCCAGCAGCCTCTCTCCTCTGGAGCAGCATTTGCATGAGACTTTTCCACACTGGTTGCACTCCCCCCACCAAAAGGCCAACTTTCCTAATATTTCCATGTCCCTTGGAAGAGTTTATCAGGGAATCTTCAGGGAAGGTGAAGCAGTTACACAACACATCAGCCCTTCAATGGCACCTGCACATGAATCACAGCAGGAGAGCCCTGGAGGGGCTGGAGCGTGTCCAGGGCAGGGAACGGAGCTGGGAAGGGGCTGGAGCCCCAGGAAGGGCTGAGGGAGCTGGGAAAGGGGCTGAGCCTGGAGCAAAGGAGGCTCAGGGGGCCCTTGTGGCTCTGCACAAGTCCCTGGCAGGAGGGGACAGCCGGGGGGGTCGGGCTCTGCTGCCAGGGAACAGGGACAGGAGGAGAGCTCAGGCCTCAGGCTGGGCCAGGGGAGGCTCAGGGTGGGCAGCAGCAGGAATTTGCCCATGGAAAGGGAGCTCAGGCCTTGGCAGGGGCTGCCCAGGGAGCTTTGCAGTGCCCATCCCTGCAGGTGCCCAAGGAAGGGCTGGACGTGGCACTCAGGGCTCTGGGCTGGGGACAAGGTGGGCATCGGGCACAGCTGGGACTCCCTGGGCTGCGAGGGCTTTTCCAGCCCCTGGGATCCTGGGATTCTTTAATCTGGGTTCTGTAAACTCTCAGAACAATGCAGTGATCTGGCTGGCCCCATGTTTAGATGAAGCCACTCCTGTTCTAGGTTTCCCTGGTGTGCAGAACAGTAAGAAGATCCAACCTCCTTGCTGTAGCCCAACAAGCACCTCAGCTGAAGCTCTTTTCTCAGCAGAACAAGAATGAGACACCCTGAGAATTCATGTGTGTGCTTTCCCCTAGCTCAAACACAAAAGAGATAACCTCAAGGTAACTTGTAAAAATAAGGAAAATCAAGCCTAATATTAGGTTCATGTACATCAGCCCAAGTGAACATCCTCAGAATGCTTATTTTAGAAGTCTACAAATCAAAAGAAAGATGGAAATCACCTAACTAGGTAACAGCTCTGCTTCCTTCTATCACAACAAGGCTTTGTTTCTATTTAAATCTTCATAGAATAAAGTTTTTAATCTTTAATGAGAGACAAAGCCAATCTAATGCAAGATAGAAATATTGGTAGAATGTATTCACCTGGTTTCATAATACTGTACAGGGATAACAACAGAACTCAACAGGTAAATAAATGTTTGAGATCACAGCATGGTTTGGGTTGAAAGGGACCTTAAAGCTCATTCACTTTGCCAGGTTGCTCCCACTTTTCATTGTCCCAGGTGCTCCCAGTCCCAGTGTCCAGCCTGGCCTTGGGCACTGCCAGGATCCAGGGGCAGCCCCAGCTGCTCTGGGCACTCTGTGCCAGGGCCTGCCCACCCTGTCAGGGAACAATTCCTGCCCAAGACCCCATTCCCCTTGGTCCTGTCACTCCATATGCCTGCAGGGACTGCAAAATGCCTCAGCTGAGATGGATTCCATTTCTCTCCTTTGGTCAGTCCTGCTCACCTGGTGCTTTCCCATCTCTCCTCCCCAGCTGCAGGGCCTGGCTCCTTGTGGGGATCTCAGCTCCTTCACAAAACTCCTGGAGAACTGGCACAGGGTGCCCAGAGCAGCTGTGGCTGTCCCTGGATCCCTGGCAGTGCCCAAGGCCAGGCTGGACATTGGACAGTGGGAGGTGTCCCTGCCATGGCAGCCATGGCTCTGGGTGGGCTTTAAAGTCCCTCCCAACCCATTCAGGGATTGCCAGAAAAGCCCCTGGTAAAGCCCCTGGTACAGAACCAGACACTGCTGGTTTCACATTAAACTCATTTGTCAGAGCAAAGCCAGCCAGAGAAGCTGCATCCTGCTGTATCCAGGCCACCTGCAACCTTCCAGCCTTTTCTAGCCCTTGCATTTACTGCCTTTCCAAACCTCTCCAGCTAAAAGGTACCTCAGATAGAGAGAAATCGCTCACAAGGGTCTCTGAGGAGGACTCAAGGAACTTTTGTTTAATAAGAAATTATTTCTTTTTTTTTTCTCCCTTCTGAAGCTGGGAAGGATGGTAAAGCACAGTAAACCTGCCCACAAAAGGAAATGAAGTGTCACCAAAATTTCAGTGCTCGAGTTTCCTGAGTCTCATTTCAGTGCACAAAGCTGGACTGAGTCAGCATTTTTCATTCATAATGCTGGCAGGATTTTCAAGAGGGTGTTTTAAACACGAGGACTCAATTTCTGTCACTGGTTAGAACCTCCCAAGCAGAATGTCTCATTTTAACATAACAACCGGAGAGATTCAGCAGGATTATATTCCCTGCATGCATGTAGTTGCTGCCCTGCCCCAGCTAGATTGTGCTTTGCTATCCCTAACAAACCCCAGGTGGTTTAATCCAGGATTGTATTAAAGTAATCCAGGGAAAGCCGGAACTTGGCATTAGCATAACAGATTCTAGAAACTCTAGGAAAGCAACTCCAGCAAGATAGCCTGATTTCCTTGGAGCTACAGAATAACATTTTCCTGGTTGAAGCACATAGAGAGCAAGAAAAATGCAACATTATTTCTGCTGCTTGGTGTGATTCCTGATTGCGGCAACTTTATCACCCATCAAAAGATCCTCCCTGCCTCTTATTTCCACGGAAGTCCTTAAAACCCCTCAAGACACAATGGGCACAAGGATTATTATTCAGCCATCAGTAGAGCCCACCCAGCACCCAGTGCAGCTGAACAGAGAGCAGCCTGTGAGGCTGAGGTTCCAGCTAACATGTCATCCCTGGAACACGCTCAGCTCCGCGAGCCAAGCACCAGCACGAGCCAAGGCACTGAAAGGTCAGAGCTCCAGTTCTTACCCTGCCTCCAAGCAAGTGGGGAGCACAGCAAGGAAAAAACAATCCCACATATGCCTTACTCTTTTCAGTCCTGCAGTTCTCCTCCTCTCTCAGCAAAGTCTGTCACAAGAGACAAGCTGGAGCAGAGTGAAACCAGCTCAGATGCCACCATTTTGCCTGAGAAATTCTGAATTCTCCGGTTGAAACCTCAAGAGTTTGGCTGCAGCTTGAACAACAAGAACAGCACAAATCAGCACTAGAAAGAGCTGCCCAGGGAGCTTTGCAGTGCCCATCCCTGCAGGTGCCCAAGGAAGGGCTGGACGTGGCACTCAGGGCTCTGGGCTGGGGACAAGGTGGGCATCGGCCACAGCTGGGACTCCATGGGCTGCGAGGGCTTTTCCAGCACCAGGATCCTGGGATTCAGTGAAATGGTCATGTCTAAAGGCTCAGAAATCCCATCACATTTTGCAGTACAAAAACAGTATTCAAAAGTGAGATTAACAGCAAACTTCACCAGATTTTCTAAAATCATGAGAATCCCAGAATGTCCTGAGCTGGAGGGACCCCCAGGATCCCCCAGTGCCCCCCTGCCCTGACCGCCCAACAAGCCCAGCCTGGGCATCCCTGGATGCTCCTGGAGCTCTGGCAGCCTCGGGGCCGTGCCCATTCCCGCCGTGCCCATTCCCTGGGGAGCCTGGGCAGTGCCAGCAGCCTGTGGGGAAAGAAGAGCCTTGCCCTAAAAGCCAACCTAAATCCCTGCTGGGCCAGCTGCAGCCGCTCCCTGCTGCTGTCCCAGCTCACCAGAGAGAAGAACAGCAATGGGTACCACATGTTCATGGAGTGCTGCAGGGACAAGAGAGGCACTCAGGGGTTTGCTTTTAAGTTCTAAAACTCTTTGGGTTAAATATCCCCAGTAGTTAATACAGATTAAGCTATTTTTTGAGCCATACAATAGCATTTGTCAGCAGTTCAGAGCAACGTTGAGAGCACTTGACTGTAAAGGATGCAGCTTTTTCCCTCCTCACAAAGCAAAATTGTTCTGCTTGCATCATCTGCAGACAGCACGAGTTCGAAGCAATG